ATTGTAGAAATGCTTACATGTTCTACACATATTATTTTACCATTTCTTAGAAAACTTTTTAATACATTGTTTCAAAAAGGTGTTTTCCCTGAAAACTGGACTAAAGCAATTATAATTCCTACACATAAAAAGGGTGAACGATGTAATCCCGATAATTACAGAGGGATTTCCCTTTTAAGTGTACTTAGCAAAATATATACACGGATTCTTCATACCAGACTCACAACTTGGGCTACGATAAGAGATAAAATACCTGAATTTCAAGCCGGTTTTAGAAAAGAGTATTCTACAACTGATCACATTTTCACCTTAAATGCAATAATTCAGAAATGCTTATCAAGAAAAAAGAAGAAATTATATGTTGCCTTCGTCGATTTTAAGAAAGCTTTCGATTCCGTCTCACGATATAAACTTTGGTATTGTCTCCAAAACTCTGGATATAACTGTTAGCTGCAATAAAAAGTATAAATGTATCCGTTAAAGCATGTGTAAGATGCAACGATAATGTTTACACAGATTATTTTGATTGCCCAGACGATCTAAGACAAGGGTGTATTTTAAGTCCACTTCTTTTTTCCTTTTTTATTGATGAACTGTGTACTGATATTGTAGAAAGAGATATTGCTATTTCTTTATGCAGATGATGTCATTCTCATATCTGAAGTTGCTTCGGGACTACAAAAACAATTGAATATTTAAGAATCATATTCTGATAAATGGGGACTTGAAGTCAACCTCGATAAAACCAATATTGTTGTTTTTAGAAGGGGTGGACGATTATCAGCTAAAGAAAAATGGTATTATAAAGACTCTGTTATTGACGTTGTGAATTCATATAGAAATCTTTGTATTATATTTCCATCCACGTTTAAAATGAATAAATGTACAGACGATCTAGCACTGAGAGGAAAAAGAGCATTATTACAAATATACTGAGTCAAAAAAGAAACTTCACATTCTTTCTTCAGGGCACTATAAAAGAACAAGAGATGGTAAGATGGTTAAAATGTTATTATTTCATTGCTGAGATCTGTGTGATGTACTCGATACACTGACAGTGCCATAATCAGTTCCATTAGGCTACACCGCCGTTCCAAAACATGGGTATACAGAATGTCAAGTCACAAGAATAAAAATGCGAAATTTCTCAGTTCAATATCGTGTATGGTCGCCCCGCGCATTCACCACTCCCAAACACCGTCTCCTCATCGACTGCCTGATGTTTGTGAACACGTGGTTGGGGATTCTGCGCCATTGCTCTTGCAAGGCAGCGCCAAGTTCCTGCAGATTCTGAGGTTGCTTCCTAAGACCACGAAGCCTTCTCCCAAGTGCATCCCAAACGTGCTCTATTGGATTAAGGTCAGGGGACCTCGATGGCCAGTCCATGACGTTGATTCCAGCGTTTTGAAGGAAATGTCGTGTCAACATCGCGGTATGCGGCCGAGCATTATCATGCTGGAACTGTAGACCTTGGCCATGAGCCGCCATGAAAGGAACGAGTTCAGGGGTGAGCACCTGGTCGCGGTAAGCAGCAGCTGTGAGGTTTCCACGGATGACCAGAAGTCGGAAACGGTTGTTCCCACAGAAAGCACCCCCACACCATGCAACTTCCGCCCCCGAATCTGTCGACTTCCTGTACACAACATTGGGCATACCGTTCACGACGTCGTCTCCAAACTCTATGCCTGCCGTCCGCGAATCTGAGGGTAAACCTGGATTCATCGCTAAAGACGACTCGGTTTCAGTCTCTCTGGGTCCATCGGAGGTGACGTTGGGCCCACAGCAGACGTTGAAACGGCGTCAATATTGGCCCACGATATGGACGTCGAGAATGGAGATTGGCAGCCCGCAACCGATTTCGAATGGTCTGTGAGGACAGTCGACCTCTAAACATCTCAGCCCTGGTTCGTGTAGCCGGCCGAAATCTGTCACGTAGGTGACGTAGGACGATTTGACGGTCTTCTGCTCGTGACGTCACACGTGGACGACCCGACCTTGGGCGATCAGAAGTGGTGCCAGTTTGTTGTAGACCACCTCGCAAGTCATACACAGTACGACGGCTGCATCCCATTGCTCTTGCGACGTCAATAACTGATCTTCCCGCTTGCAACATGCAAACGGCACGTTCACGTTGCACATTTGACAATCGTGGCATTTCAAGTACCGTTAGAACTGTGGTTTAAAAGTGTTTTTTTCAATTCTTGCAAACCCTGATTTGGCACTAACGTCATTTGCACGACGAATGGATGGGTTCGAGTGGGTTCTGCTAACGTTTTTCTAGAGTCGAATGATAGGGATCCCATTACGGATACATAGATGTATCATCAGAGAAAAATTATTCATTATTTTTCAAATTACATTTTGTGAAGTTTCTTTTTTGACTCAGTATATTATATAACTTAAGAAAGATTGATGTGATTGATCCTAGGGTATTCTTTAAAATATTTGATTCACAAATTCAACCAATTTTACTTTATGGTGCGGAGGTATGGGGGGTTAGCCTCTATGAGAATATTGAAAAAGTTCATTTGCTTGCATGTAAGAGATTTCTAAATGTAGGATTACAAACGCCTAATGTTATAATATATGGTGAATGCGGACAATATCCTTTGTATATAAATTGCTTATGTCGAGTTATTAAATATTGGTTAAAACTTATAGAAATGCACTCTGGTAGAATACCCAAAAAATCATATGACATGTCAGTATATTTAGATACCATTGGGCAAAATAATTATGTTTCTTATATTCGTAATATACTTTTTTCACATGGATTTGCATTTGTATGGTTAGCACAAAGTGTAGGCAATAAGGTTGATTTTCTTAGATGTTTTACAGATGTATGTGTATATATCTTTTACCAATCTTGGCATTGTACTCTCGACAACAGTTCACGCTACAATTTGTATAGAGAATGTAAGAGTTTACTAGAACCTGAAAAAATATTTCAGTGTTATACATGAAAACAAATATCGTGATATTCGTATAAAATTCCGAGCAGGCCTATTACGATTAAAAATAAACGAAGGAAGATGGTTGAATGTTGATGTATCTCTACGCACATGTCCTGTTTGTAAATGCGGTATAGAGGATGAATTCCATTTTCTTCTAGTATGCAAATATTATTCTGAAGAAAGATTATCTTATTTTCCACATGTTTACAACCGCATTCCAAATATATTTATATTCAAAAGCCTGTTAACTTCTGCGTCAAATGAAGCATTATTAAATTTATGCTAATTTATTTATCTGCTTATAAAAAGAGACAGACTTTGTTAAACTCTTAATGGTTTTACATCATGTTTCCAATATATTTTGATTGTATATATGTTATATGTACATGGGCCGGTGGCATAATATGCATAATAAAGATCTTTGACTTTGACTTTGATATGTGGGCCATGGAATGCGGTACATCATTAACATCCTAGACGTGGCTGTTGTACCACATATCAATTTACCATTCTCTGAACCGAGGTGAGTGAGTGAGTTTTAGGTTTACGCCGCTTTTAGCAATATTCCAGCAATATCACGGCGGGGGACACCAGAAATGGGCTTCACACATTGTACCCATGTGGGGAATCGAACCCGGGTCTTCAGAGTGACGAGCGAACGCTTTAACCACTAGGCTACTCCTCGCCCCTCTGAACACAAGGCAAGTCTTCGTGGACATCAATGCTAAGATCAGATCTTGCACCTACCAATGGTGATTTCTTACGTCAAAAGGCGGATGATTCGGATGCTTTTACAAATAGTGTGAAAAACAAAAGTTAGGCAAAACGATAGTCACAGAACATTTAACAATCAAAATAAACTGACGAGCAAAAGAAAGTACACAGGTGTAATTGTTGTTGCAATCCCAAATATGCGTTATAACTAATAAAATTATTGAAAAACATTGATTGTATAGAACGCAACCATCATGTTGCATTTGTCAAAATGCAACCAAAATCATTTGTACGTGTTTTGCACGAATTTTTGCAAAATTGTGATTATTGTCCCATGCACCAGCACTTTTCTGACAGAGAGTATAAAACCTGTTTGTCGGGAAGACTGAACAATCACTTGACAGAAATGTCACGAGGAAATGCCAAGATTGACGTCGGCGCAACGAGAACGGGCCAAAGGAATGACACAAATGGGTGCTTTCAACAGCGATATTGCAAGGACATTGGGTTGCACAAGACAAATATAATTCGGCTGTTTAACCGTTTCAGTACGACAGGCCAGACATGTGATCGACCCAGAAGTGGACGTTCCAGAGTCACAACACCCCAAGAGGATCGCTATCTGCGGAAACACAACCTGTGTACTTTCTTTTGCACATCAGGTTATATTTGTGTTCAAAACTACGAAATACACGCCCAAAAACATTTCATTTCTGTTTCCGTGAGTACTTTAGTGCCGAATGTGTCAGGCTGTAAAAACAATGCTGAGCATTCGTGAAACTCTACGAAAACAAACATTCCATTTCTTGTAATATTTGGCAAAATGGTAACAGAAAATATACATCTGGTATAGTTAGGTATGGGGTAGTTTAACACAACACTATTGTTGATGGTGTTCGAATGTCGTTTGGTGTGTTTAGAGATGAACTTATGATTACGCTGTTTCTCAGTAATTCAGTACATACAAAAGCCCAAAATGTTTTCAAATATGTACCAATCCTTTTCTTGAATGAATAAAATATGTTTCAATCAATAAAAGCCCTTATGTTTTCCGGGGGGTGGGGTAGCCTAGTGGTTAAAGCATTGGCTCGTCACGCCGAAGACCCAGGTTCGATTGCCCACGTGGGTATAATGTGTGAAGCCCATTTCTGGTGTCCCCCTCCGTAATATTTCTGGAATATTGCTAAAAGCGGAGTAAAACCATACTCACTCACTCACCTTATGTTTTCTTTGCTCACTGAATTTTCTTATTAAAACCATTCCAAATTTGTGGACATTCAAACTGAGCGTGGTAAAGAAAAGTGCCTTGACCTCGCTAATCCACATACTTACCTAAACAGGTCGTTTCACCAGGGAATCTGTTTATCCGACTATCTCACTGCTGCCTGACCGTCGAATGTGAAGTACAACACTTAGTTTAACTTTTGTTGTTGTTGTTTTCTGTTTTATGGAGCGGTCCATTATTCATTTGAGGGGTAAGGTCACAATCTGGAACAGTTACATAATGTCATGTGGCGTTTGAGTGTCACGTGAGATTAGGCGATAGAGATACGGGTTTGAATGATATGGCATTTAAAAAATAGACATCATCACCTTGTCCTAATAATAGTAAATCTAAGACAAAGCGTGTGTTTTGGTGGGGTTTTTTGTTTTTGGTTTTGTTTTGTTTTTTGTTGGGATTTTTTGGGGTGAGGTTTGGTATTTTTGTTTTGCGGGTTGTTGTTGTTTCCTATGTGGCATTTTCTCGACGGTGTCCAAAAGATTTCTTCATCGAATAAAGTGTCACTCACTTATACATACATGAGCATATATAGATATATCTCTGACAAGTTGAACATCAGACCCGGGTTAGAATTGGACTTCAGTAACCCATGCTTGTCGAAGAGGCGACTAACGGGATCGGGTGGTCAGGCTCGCTGACTTGGTTGACGTCATCGTATCCCAATTGCGTAGATCGATGCTCATGCCATTGATCACTTGATTGCCTGGTCCAGACTCGATTATTTACAGACCGCCGTCATATACCTGTGATATTGTTGAGTGCAGCGTTAAACAACAAACCGATCCCGCTAGTCGCCTCTTACGACAAGCATGGGTTACTGAAGATCAATTCTAACCCGGATCTTCACGGGTCTGCCTGTAGAGACCTTAATAATGAACTAACAGCAAACATATCCAATCCTGGTCAATTGTGAAATTGGAATTCAATTGATTTTAGGTGATTTACTAACGTTTTCATGAACACTTCCGGTTCATTAAAGGTCACATGCAACCAAAAAAACAAACATAAATAAAAAACAATTATCATTTATTCATAACATATAATATACATTGCTGATTATGAAAAATCAAATAAACAAAATTATAACTGTACAATCGCAAATCAATGGGTTTACTTCCCTCGAAACGAAGCACCCGTTGTACCGAACCCTGTCAGAGCGATTGGGCGTGCACTTAAGTGTAACAAAGACGTTCATTGGCTGGTTCATTTGCCGATGCCCTCAGGGCCCTTTGTGTGTGTGTGTGTGTGTGTGTGTGTGTGTGTGTGTGTATAGAGATGTTGGGTTTTGTAAATACGTGCTCATTGTTTGTGTATAACATTTTGCAATCAACAGACATCATAACATGTCATGTGTACAAGAATCACACCTGCCTGTCTGTGTAATTACATACTGTGACAGGGTGCACTTTTGTTTATGATGTATAGCCTGATAGATGTTAAGTTCAAATTGCATGTGGTCAGTGATGGAAGTTGTGTATTGCATATTGTCATTAGCAGACATGCAGGCAGACACATAGGTGTCAATAAAACAAACATTGAGTTTTGTCTGTGACAGAGGCACATCTATATCACAGTTAGACATTCTGACAATGCTAAATAATGACGTTGCTTGTAAGTATCTAATTGAGAAAGTGACTCGGTAAGAAGAACGTGTGGTGAAATAGTCAAATGAAATTATATAAACAGTTAAATCGGTAATCTACTGTCATAGCATATAAACATCTCGCGCCTGTGCAATATCATCAAAAGATTAGAAAAATAGCTCACATCAAAGCCTACTCCGAGTATTCACCGCCAGCGAAGGTTTTCCGTCTTGAAATGGCGCTGCCAAGCTGCGCAAGCCTATTCACTGCGCATGCGCCATGAGCGCAACGCAGTTTTTGAAACAACTTTTCACCCCAGCTGGGTGAATTTAGTGAATCGCTTGAACTCCGATTTCGCGGGGTTTTTTCATCGCGTTATTTTTCAACTTTATAAGTTGAATTTGCATTTTTGATAATTTGTTACTGTAAGTCCATACCGAAAGCTATCAGAATCGGCAAAGTTGTGTTTTACGTTGCATGTGACCTTTAACGTTGACCTTCAGTCTTCGCCGTGATTTATTTCTTTATTCTAAAGTACTGTTAAGAAACACCTTAAACTGAAAATGCGTTTGGTGGTCATGCATACCTTTCAACTATAAACTAGCCTCATCACTAATAATATAAACAGAACAACACAAACAAACTAGCCATACCGAAGAGCAGATAATTTTAAAACTGCATGTTTCAAAGTCACATATGCTGAACTCAGTTATTGCACAACTGCCCCTATGATCCAATACACTTAAAAGACAATGTTTGCATTGCCCAAGGTTGCTTTTATGAAAAGTAGATGCACAGGCTATGTATTAGACATCAAAGCCCTATGTCAAGTATCATCTAAACTGTTTTTGATTTTAGATAGGTACAGACAGTATCGAAGGATTTCAGTCCCTGGACAGTGATCTGATGACTGTCATCGTCCTTTAAATTCATAAGCCTTTCACCCTAAACTCAGTGCTGTTTCAGCGATGTCCACGTTACTGAGTGTCCTTATAAGATAACTGCAGCTCCATCAAACAGATGAAGGTCAAGGTGGTCCGCTTACTTGACAATGAGACCATACACACACACAGCGTCCTCGTGTTATCAAGGCAAGATAATGGTGCCCTTCATGTACTCGTTCAGCAACATGCTACACATTTACGCCATGCGACACTAAAGTACAAGCCAATGTGAGGGTCGAACGTATGGGTCTCAGGCGGGAGGCGGGGCGTATTACCGAAATATAAAACACTCTGAGATAACGATTCGTTTGTGTTGTGATAACACAGTAATAGGTTATATCATGCGGAGGTCACGGGTCACTTCCATACTAAGGTTTCATCACGTTTCCTTTTTCTCGACTCTGTACATGAAACCACCCGAACAAAGATATCTGCCGCCTCTCGAAGTTGGGATGAACTTTTGCATTTGCCATGGTAGGACTTAGTGACGAAAGTGGTCCGTACCATCTATTTATATTTGTCATAAAATTGTTGAACAGAGTTCACTAATAAATGTCATGTAATTTACAGTTAACCGTTCAGCTCATTAGCGTCTCTCGCTCGACTGACCAACTGACTAATCCGTTAATCCCTAATCCGTTAATCCTGATTGAAATAGAAACTTCAAAGCAAAATCGCCAGTGACTTAGTGCGAATAGTGTTCCCCGTACTGGTGACTTCATGAGAAGACACCGTCACGGGGCACAGTGACTATTGTGACCCACAAGGGAAGGCACGTTGGTTTAAAGCAGCAGCGTTCTCAAAGAGTTTGATGCAAATTTTGTCACAAGGTGTAAAACAGAAAACATCGCGTTGATTTTTATGGCGTCCAGCCGCTGTAAATATTTTTAGAACAAAGCAGCATTGGGAAATCTCGACTCGGTTGTGAACTGTTGACATAAAAACAGTCGATATGTCGGAATATGAAGCAGTCATATATGAAATATGATCTTTGTCAGGAACACAGAATGCTGCTTACAAAACAGAAGGATCATATAAGCCAATCAGTCGTTTGAACAGCCGTGATGATCCGGGTTAGAATTGGTCTTCAACAACCCATGCTTGTCGTTAGAGAAGACTAACGGGATCGGGTGGTCGGGTTTACACATGCCATCGTATTCCAATTGCGTAGATCGATGCTCATGCCAATCACTGGACTGTCTGGTCCGGATTGATTATTTACAGACTGCCATCATACAGGTGGAAAATTGATGAGTTTGGCCTTTAAACAACAAACAAACAAAAATGTTTTTGAACCTACATTCAGCAGCTGCACCCGCAACTCAGGGACCTACCCTCCTCCCCCTTCCATTGCTGATTTCTACATCCACTTTGATGTATTTACCTAATAATAGTAATAGCAATAGTAATAAAGTATTTATATAGCGCTGACTTCTACCAACCATGGGCAATCCTCAAAGCGCTGACAGTTCATAGGTGAGTGAGTTTGGGAGTTTAGTTTTATACCGTTTTGAGCAATATTCCAGCAATATCACGGCGCGGGGGGAAGGGTGGTGGGACAGCAGAAATGGGCTTTGCACATTTTGCCCATGTTGGGAATCGAACCCGGGTCTTCGGCGTGACGAGCTTTAACCACTAGGCTACCCCACCGCCCTAGTTTATATGTACAAGAAAATACATAGCGTTGAACGGGATGTGTTTTGAGTCTGTTTTTGAAGAGTGGCAGAGTTCGTACTGATTTTAGGTCAAGAGGCAGAGAGTTCTAAGGGGAGCAGCTGCATACTGAGAGGACCTGGCACCAAACGATTCCAGTTATAAGTAGGCATGGACAGGAGAAACTGATCATGGGAGCGGATAGTTCTGGAGGGAGTGTACAGTGTGATGTGGTCTTGAAGATAGGCAGGTCCCATTTTGTGATTTGTCTGATAGCTGAGTATCAATGTTTTGAATTTAATACGTTCAGGAATATGAAGCCAGTGTAGAGATTGGAGAATGGGTGATAAGTGACAGGATGGTTTGCTTCTTGTTATAATACGGGCAGCGATGTTCCGAATCTTTTGTAACTTGCTGATCAACTCGTTAGAAACTCCAAACAATAAACTGTTACATTAATCTAGCCGAGAGAGAACTAAAGTTCTCAAGAGACACCCGTAGCATCTTGTGTCAACAGGTGGTGAATGTTTCTCAAATGGAAACAGCAGCATTTACACAACTGAGAAACTTGAGTTTCCATACCAAGATTGCAGTCAATATGAACACCCAAGTTCTTGAGTGAAGATGAACCATTCACTGCAGATTGACCAGTGTAAAGCTGCTTGGTATCACATTTCTTCAGTCTTATAAAGAGTGTTTTTGTCTTCTTGTTGTTCAACATCAACATGTTTGATTACATCCAATGTTGAATTGTTGAGATGCAGCTCTCGACCTTGCAAACAACTGTTGTTTTCTTCGTTTGTGATGGGCAACCTTCTGTTGTGAGATGAGAGAGAAGTCCAAGTGGTCACATATACATAGTACATAATATTGGCCCCAAGACCGAGCCCTGTGGCACTCCACAGGTCAGAGACATATTGTCAGATAGCACATTACCAGTCTGGACTGCTTGCACTCAGACAAGAAGCAAACAATGACTCTGCTGTGCTGCTCACACCATACTCTTGGTGTATGCGGTCCCATAGTCCTTGATTGTCAAGCATACTTCCAGGTATAAATCATAAACAAGCCATAAATATTACGCCTACCCGTGAAGGTCCGGGTTAGAATATTGATCTTCAGTAACCCATGCTTGTCGTAAAGGCGATTTTTGGGATCGGGTGGTCAGGCTCGCTGACTTGGTTGACACATGTCATCGGTTCCCAATTGCGCAGATCGATGCTCATGCTGTTGATCACTGGATTGTCTGGTCCTGACTCGATTATTTATAGACCACCGCCATATAGCTGGAATATTGCTGAGTGCGGTGTATAACTAAACTCACTCACTCACTCAGCCATATTACTGCTGTTCATAAAAGGAATTGTAGTGTGAGTGTTGCAATCTGGTTGATTGAAAATAATTGCTTAAAGGGACAGGTTCCGAGTTTTTCAGCCAGCGCATATGAATACTTTCAAAAGATACAGTATGAAAACTAAAGCAGCCATGGAAACCACAACATTTATTTATCAACTCTCATCAATATGTATCAGAATAATATTTGAAATGTTTGTTTCTTGTGCATTTCAGGCTCATGGAGAAACAGTTACCATGGAAACCAATGACATCATCCATCACATCAGTATGACATCAGTCATTTGTTCCTAATGGCATTTTCAAGCAGGAAAACACAACACCCACAATACAGAACAGATATAATGAGTATGTCCTGGTTGTTTGTTAACATGACAAGCTGTGTACTGCTAGAAAAATATAACAAACGTACACCATGTCAGAATTTATATTAAAGTCTTCAGCAAGACAAAACTTGCTATAAGGGTAACAATGATTACAGAAACATAAGTATATTTCCCTCGACATCAGAGTAGCTACTACAAAATATCAACACTACAACCGAATTGCTGTTTAATCTGCATTCTACAACAAATGCTCAAGTTGTGCTTTCTCAATATATCTTGAACAATAAGTACCTGGCAATTAAGTCCCGATTCTCTGCATTATTAAACATGACATATTTACACATCATACATGCATATTCATAAATTTGAAAACATGACAAAAGTGTTGCATACATCTACTGATAAAACAAAATGTTTATCACAAATTGTTGCGGAGCTATTCATGACATACAACAACATGTTGTTTTTAAAAATCAACAATTTCTGTAACAAGAACAAGTTACAAAAGTTATGGCAGCCATTACTATAGAACAATCCAGGAGATTAATCCAGGAATCCAGAGTAACTGGTCTTGGTAATCTCGTTCTCATTTTCTCAAATTCGTGGCATTACATCATTGCAATAAACACAAGTGTCAAACTAAGTACTACAGCATCCTCATTCATCTTCAGTGGTCCTGTTATCAAAGAAATACAAATCACCTGTATAATGCTATATCACTGACTATCAATGGTTATAATATTAACACCAATAATTAGCAATTTTGTAACTGACATTTCTGCAGACTTGGGGTTTTTACAGACATTTCTGCAGACTGGGGGGTTTGTACTGACATTTCTGCAGACTTGGGGGTTTGTACTGACATTTCTGCATGCTTGGGGGTTTGTACTGACATTTCTGCATACTTGGGAATTTGTACTATCATTTCTGCAGACTTGGGAATTAGAACTGACATTTCTGCAGACTTGTGCCCAAATATCAGTGCCTGATCACAATCATCAAATATTGCATTATGAATGTACACTAGGAGAATATCACATTAACCACATAAATATAAAGATTGAACATTCATAAAAGGTTTTGAAAAAGGCTTTTATTGTACTACACACACAAAAATAACATTCAAAATATCCATACTCCAGGAACAGGAAACACTGAGTTATATTCCAGCAATATCACAGATGGAGACACCGGAAATGGGTTTCACACATAGTACCCATGTGGGGAATCAAACTTGGGTCTTTTGTGTGACTATCGAATGCTATAACCACTAGGCTACCCCACACTGAGTTTGGATTAAATGAGCTTGAAATACAAACTCAATATACAGTGCAGTAGCAAATGTACAGCACATATGTGCACCTTGCATATTATACCAAAAAAGACTGTTTGAGACTGCAGATACCTTAGTAATTGTCTATGTGTACACTATATTGTGTTTGTAGGTAGGGTCAAAAAGTCTTATTCTGTATTAACTCTTTTTATTCAGTTCTTTGGCATTGAGTCCATATATACTCTTCAGTAAAGAAACCTGCCCCACACTCAGAGCATTGCAACACTCTGTACAACGTTATAAATATCATAGTGAATATTTACAAAAATAATTCTAACATGATAAACGTTCTATATGAAATATTTTATCAAAAATGCACATTTACCTTTTATATATGGGAACCCAATACAGCTGCACGACTGCCACAGGTAACAGTCAGTTAAGTTTACAAACCCTTGCATCCCACAAACACATTTTCTAAGAAATATAATGTATCATTGTCTAAAACATCCTAATAGAATATAGTTATGAACCAATTGCTTATCCCACCTAAAAATATATTCATATAATAAAATCTGTTCACAAATTGTATTAACCAAGTAGACATGAACCTATTGGCACATGGTCTGTGATACAATTCCTTATCCTACCTAAAATATATTCATATAATAAAATCTGTTCACAAATTGTATTAATCAAGTAGACATGAACCTATTGGCACATGGTCTGTGATAAACAACTGAGGCTTCCCAAGGATCCTCTTGTTTTATGGGCCTTACTGGCCAGAGCAAATGAGCAACAAAAAGAAAACTTAAAATCTTTGTCAGGGCATATCTGAGGTAAATGAAATAAAAACAATCTTTGAAAAGACAACTCATACATAGTTTCAATAAAAAATGCATTTTAAGATTTATGAACCACTTTATTTTTTAGATACAAGGTGATGTGATGTAATAGTTTACCTATTTAATATATTTCCCTGCCGGAACATGCTGAAAAATGGCTATAGTAAACATGCTAAACTCATCAAAAAGATAAAATACACTTCAAATGCTTCTTCATCATTGATGCAAAATACGTTTTATGTTGTGATATCATGGTAATAAGACTGAACATTAAAGGATTTCATCTGATGATCCTGAATCTAAAACATGATGCAAATATCAATGAACAGTACTATTAAAAAACAATATTAAAGGAACCTGAATATCTCTCTTTAAAAATAGAACCAACAACATCACTAACAATTTAAAACGTTAATAAGGAACATAAAACATGAAACAAATAATATGCCATATGAAGTGAGCCCATTCCCCTGACCATGTTGTGTCCTGTGAATACATCTGTAATCAGTTGACACATGGAAATGTAACATCACATACATGGATGTGTCTTTCTTTCATGTCTGTATAACTGTACTGGGAAATGGAATCCAGGCAGTGTTAAGAGCCTGCTCAACATCCAGTCATTCTGTCATTGTTATAAAAAATGGTTGCATCATCAACATTTAACAACATAAATATCATCATCTTTCAGCATAACTTACATGTTAAAGAGAACAGGGATTTACAGGACGCGTATTCCTGCAACCTATACGCATAAAAATTGACAATGGACGAAACAAAATTTACTAGTGCATCCCCAGGGACGCAGAAAAAGTCCAGATACTTTTTGTAATAAATTCCAATCAAGTAACAATAGGTTATCACTGAGTTTGCTACTAGCTGGGTTATGGTATCATTTGCAATTTAATTACTGTAACAATGTGCTGAACATAATACACAATACAAAAACAGTATTGATAATAATATTTAAGTGTCTGGGACTCCTATTTTGTTGTCTCCTGAAAATTACTAGTATGAGTCTCAGGGACCCTCAAATACAGGACTCAAGGTAAATCCCTGAGAGAAGGCATTACGACTGATCTGAGACCATCCTCGATTAGCCAGGGGACTGTGTATACTTCCAATCCAGATAAGCACCCTGGACCCAATTCACCACCACAGCTTTGAGTGAGTGAGTGAGTATGGTTCTACTCCACTTTTAGCAATATTCCAGCAAGATCACGGCCTGGAACACCAGAAATGGGCTTCACACATTGTACCCATGTGTGGAATCAAACCCGGGTTTTCGGGGTGACGAGCGAAATCTTTCACCACTAGACTACCCCACCTTCCCTCCACAGCTTTGATGATTCTGTTACCATGGTACCATCTCCATATCACCTATAAACGGCAGAATTTCACGAAAGTTAATTGATGAGATGGCAATTTTCATCATGGTGCCATTTGAATAAGGCTCAAAGAAATCTACGGAAGCAAAAGTGTTCATCGTGTTCATGGTATCTATAACACAATACCCTGAGGATGATCTCAGGTAAAGTTTGCCCTGACAAAATAAATAGTGCTAAGGATATATACATATTATATAGGTCTTAATTATTACCATAAAGACATACCCATTCTTCTTAATGTGTATTAATTTCCAGGAATGTCATGCATTTGATGAGAAACATAAATAAAGACAACAATATCCTCATGCTAATGTAACCAATATAGAAGTTACTGCCATATATGATGTATTTCTGTTTAGAATGATAAACAAAAGGCAAGAAACATCTCATTCGGGTATAAATCTCCCTTTTATCTCAAGCCTTGCTGGTTAATACAGCACCTTAATCAGGTCAGATTATATAACATATCAATCATAAAATATGACACATAAATCATATACGACATTAACCAGTCATATTGATATACCTATTTATTATTTATGATGACACAACACGTGAATCATAACAGATCATCGTTGAATTATCAACCATTAAAGCTGACAGCATATCAATCATGTAACATGATACAACAAAAAACAAACTGAGCTCCTGTCTTCAATAAAATGCCCTCTGATTTGGCCTCCTGATAATGCACAATGAACTTGCTTAACAATAACATAACAGAAAGGCTAGGAAACGAAGATGGCAGGCAAAGGGAGATAATCCTGGTATCTGATCCCAGGTTTCAGAAGGCAAATCCAAGTTTTTGTTTCCCTATGTAGGTGAGCAATATACATGATATAAACAGTTGTGACAAAGTTCATACAATCACATTGTCCATAGGAGAAAGACATTGTAGCAATGCTAAAAAACAAGAGCTGACCGTAAATGTAATGCTGCATCACAGTTGCCTAGCAACACTATCATAATGATATTTACTGACTGAGTACGAACATGAGGGAAGATGTCTGAAGTGATCAGGAATTGAAGTAAATTTCAGTTCCAAGTCCTCTTCATGATTTGGACATCCCAGCTAGAACAGCTCCGGTTACTGTGAAGGACATGGCCAACAGTGAAATCAGGATGTTGCGCAGACCCTGTAAGTAGACATATCACAATAAATATATATGCTCTGTTAAAAGCATCATGGGAGTCTGCAAGTAGACATATCACAATAAATATATAGTATGACCAGAAATTATTGAGAATTTTAGGAATATGTTTAATTGGATTTCTAGTATAAACAACCTTGACCAGCTATCAAGTGCTTGGTTTCATTCAAGAGAGACAACTCCGTTAATCCTTTTTCATTAGTTTGTGAAGAGTTATCCCCCTTTGTTTACTTGCTAGCAGACGACATTTTCAGTGATCCTCAGTATGGATGATTTAGAGAAGTAGAAGTTGATTTTAGAGTATTATAACAAGGACATCAGATCAGCTAAAGTGATTTCAAGTAGAATAGGCATCCCTTTGTCCACTGTTTATCGTGTTTTGAAAAATATTGCAAATGGATATGGCATTGAGCACCAGGGAGGCGCAAGTAGGCCCAGAAAATTGACTGTCGGTGACAGGAGGCAGCTTTGTATTCTTGTTTCTAAAAACAAACGAAGGAGTTTAGAAAACTTAAGGCTGGATATGATTGATAGAGGAACTGTGGCTGTCTGTAAGGAGACAATTAGAACTAAGCTGCATGCAATGAGTTGGCAGAAAAGTCGAGGAATTCCATCACCGATCATGAAACCTGAACAAAAGGAGCGAAGGTTGAACTGGTGCTTACAGCATAAAATGTTTAACTGGGACAATGTGATTTTCTCAGATGAAAGTTCTGTGTGGCTCTTTCCTAATACACTGACATTCTGGACCAAACAAACTGAAAAACCTTTGTATCAGCGCCCAAAGTACAGTCCGAAATTTAACGTGTGGGGTGGCATATCTGTGTTAGGGGGCAAGCCCTCTGTGTATTTGAAGGAAATATGAACAGTGAGCGGTACACAGATATTCTTGAGGGACATTTACTTCCATCTGCTCACGTGTTCTATGGAAATTTTTGGATTTTCCAGCAGGACAACGACCCCAAACATCGTTCATAGCATTCACATGCCAGGTTTCGGACCCAAAATATGACATTATTAGATTGGCCAAGCTATAGCCCTGACCTAAATCCAATAGAAAATGTTTGGGGACTTATGAAGAAAAGTATCAATAAGAAAAATCTGACAAATATTGCTGAAATGAAAGAAGAGGTGGTCCGATATTGGGACAGCATGGACCACGACTTTTTAACTTCTTTGATCAGTAGAATGCCCCGCCGCATTTAAGCCTGCATTGCTGCCCATGGTGACTTGACAAAATACTAACTGCTCACCTGTCTTTGAATCTGAAGTTATGTTCTGCTAATATTCACATTTAATACGTGAGTAATGAGTGAAAAAATATAAAAAATTGCAATCTTTAAATTCTCAATAATTTCTGGTTGTACTGTATATGCTCCGTTAAAAGCATCATGGGAGTCTGCAAGGAGACATATCACAATAAATATACTGTAGTCGTAGTTATTTTCGCGTGGGATTAATTTTCGCGCTTTTAGAGCAAAAAGATTGTGCGCCAATAATCATACCACGCGAAATATTCATGGTCAAGTCATGACAAATACTCAAGTAGGAATTTATTCTCTCAGATAACAACATCAAAACAATACATAAAGGAATAGAGGCATATATACTAGTAATAGCGATCACAATCAGCAAATGTTTGTTATCAGTTGATTGACAGCTGATCACTCGTAATCACAACATGAACGAAGCTCACTTACAGTCACAAATCACAATAGTCCAGCTTGAGTGAAACCACTCTTGATCAGGTCACTTCGCTTGGAGATGTTGTCATGGAGATGTTGTCCTGGGCGTGAAGAGGTTTAACAACACTTGTCTTGATGTCAACATCAATGGTCGATGTGGGATCGTCATTTCCGTTTGCTTCTTGCTCTTCAATTTGGCGAACAACTTCACCAGAATACCACAAATGAACTGGTGTTTCATTTCATCTTTGAAAGTCTTGTTCATGGCGAGATCTAGAGGTTGCAACTTGTCAGTGCAACAGGCAGGCACATACACAAATACAATGTTCTTTTTCGCCAAGAGTTTCTGCACGGGTTCCACACGATGAGCATGATACACATCAAAAATGCAAAGTGCCTTCTGTTTCTTTGGTAAGCCAAGCCGGGCACGTGTCGCTGTCACATAGGGGTCAACGACTTAAATGATGTACCTCATCATAGATTCCTCGTTGCTCCAATGTGTGTCCGTATGTGTAACATCCCAATCCTCGGGAAAGTTCACTGATGGGTGACATCGGTCCGTTTTACCACCATAAATCAGTTGGGTTGGCAGGAATTCTCCTGACTTGATGATGGCGAGAAGGGCAGTGATTAGACGCTTGTCACCAATTCCAGAGATCGTCACTTGTTTAGTACCACGTTCGTCCATAGTGCAGTCACCTCCAGGCACAAGCGACAGTTCAGTTTGATCGCAGTTTATTACGAGTTCGTCAGGGATATCGTGATTCTCAATCACTTTTGAGACACCGTTGATGAATTCTGTCTTGATGTCTTCAAAATCAGCTGGTAGTCGTTTCACATCATTCGTACCCTTCCGCTTGACAAAATCCATTCTACGAAGTAGTGACTGGGCCCATGATTCTGTCAGCTCGATGTTCCCTCCAATTTCTTTGAGAAGCGAATTATGGCGTTTTTTCATGATTCCATAAGCAGCTGCTAACAAAGTTCTTGTATTTATTGCTCCACCTGAGAGTCGAGTTTTTCGAACCCACACCCTAATTTTGGCCTTTGACCTCTGACAGCTTTGACCAATCGCGGTGGAGATTCGCCAGTTTTCATTTGCTGTTTTAGAAAACTGTTTTTCATTCCCTGTACTGTCGACTCACTAACTTTCCACTTTAATTCAGATGAATATTTTTTTGATGCCTTCATCACGCCATTTTCAATTGCATAGACAGCAATTTTAGCCCTAATTTCTTCATTGTAATTGGCATACTCGCCGCGTTTTCTTTTTTTGTTAGATGAACTTGCTGACATTTCTTCCATTTTATCAACTGCGTTATTGGCCGCTATGGTCACTTCAAAATCACCCTCGTCTTTACAGCAATTCGGATCAGGTAATCCAGGTGTCTGAGATTTACGAGCCTTCGCTAACCACATTCGTAATGCCAACCTGATATCAGATTTCGGAGCATAAGGTGAGATATTGAAATTGAATCATATATACACCACAAATTGAAACAAAGACAAGAAATGCAGCCAATCAACGATTTGGCCATGTGAACAACACGTGTTCATGAACAACAAACACTACTTTATGATTTATATGTTTAATTATTGTAAGTACTTGTATACACTATTCCTTAATTCGTTGTCACTTGATCTCGCATATGGGACAGATGTTGTCATGTTGACACAAGTATAATCCCACCTCTCTCTCTGATTGTTTTAGTAAACACGATTCAGTTATGGCGGCTCGCTTTGATCATTGCATGTCTATCGGTTGTGAAAACTTTGTGATGGACCCCATCACTCAGGTGTTTGGAATATGCGAAAAAACAACTGCGCTAACAGATCTTTTGTGAACTTTCCGCGAAAATTGCACCCCGCGAAAATATATATGATTACAGTATATGCTATAAAAGCATCGTGGGAGTCTGCAAGTAGACATACACAATAAATATATATGTTCCGTTAAAAGCATTGTGGGAGTCTGCAAGTAGACATACACAATAAATATATATGTTCCGTTAAAAGCATTGTGGGGAGTCTGCAAGTAGACATACACAATAAATATATATGTTCCGTTAAAAGCATTGTGGGAGTTGCTACAGATTACATTGGCCAACATTTTACATCCAAGGAGCCACATGCAAAGCTTGGCCTAGGCACAACCTAACATAACAATAATGACTAAAGTGTGAGTGAGTGAGTGTGCTGCTTTTAGCAATATTCCAACAATATCATAGAAGGGGAGACCAGAAATGGGCTTCACACATTGAACCCGGGTCTTCAGCTTGATGATCAAACCCTTTAACCACTAAACTACCCCACCACCTGGACTAGCCCGTAACTCACCCTAATTTCTTTAAACACCAGAATTCCAAGTGCCAGTGCGATTCCTCCAGGAACGGTTGAGATAATGGGGAAGGACACAGGTTCAGATAGTGATGCATTAGCAATGAACCATCCGGCTGTGGCAATACCCCACATGCCACCTGACACAAGCCCAGGGAGGATAACTCTAGGGTAGACATTTGGGTTGTTGCGTTTGTAGACAATGTAGATGATGAAGAAGACGGTGCTGGTGAGGTAGATGCCACAGAAGTGAGCAAACACGTAATCCAAGGCTGAAATTACAGATGGGTTGTGAAACATATGGTTGTGGTCCATGGCAAAATGAAAAACACCTGTTTTTGTTTATTTGTTTGTTGTTTAACGCCACACTCAGCAATATTCCAGCTATATGGCGATGGTCTGTAAATAACTGAATCTGGACCAGACAATCCAGTGATCAGATAAATCATTAGAACAGTCAGCAGAAATACAATATGTGAGATAGAATAAGTTTAAAAATATATGTGTTTTCCTACTAAAGCAACTTCTAATCCCAGTGAGTTATCTCAACTTGATAAATGAGTGAGTGAGTTTAGTTTTACGCCGCTTTTAGCAATATTCCAGCAATATCAAGGCAGGGACACCAGAAATGGGCTTCACACATTGTGTCCATTTGGGGAATCAAACCAGGTTCTTTGGCGTGACGAGCCAACACTTTAACCACTAGGCTACCTATCGAGCCCTCATGTACCCCTCACAAACAATAGACAAAACATTTAGCCCATCATCAATGATGCAACAACTTACAGTTCTGACTGGCCCCATGGTCTTTCTGGGACTGCTGCACATAAAGGGCAGGCGTGAACTGAGCTCCGTACAACACGCCAGAGAAGGCGGACAGTGACAAGCCTCTGGGGAGATAAACACGGTGACAGTAACAGACCGACCCAAAAAGTGTCAGTTAGCATGGTAATATCTAACATGATCCTGCACACGAGAATGGTGAGTTCATTCCTGGTTGCACTATTGTGCAGTTAGGAGATAACAAATTTGTGGCAATAAAGGAATAACTGGGGTCTAAAATAAACATTAACAATAAATTGTATATTTACAATATTCATCCTATCTCATGTTATGCACTTTCTTATGAACCTGACATGGAAATGACCTGAAATGAAGTTTTCAGCCTCTTCTAACACCTTGCCAAATCAAATCCCAGCTCCATCTACAGGGCCTGTAAGTCTCGCAAGGTGCTACTCCGGTACTAAGCTGGTTTCCAGCTCACTTTGCACACGCGATATGCGAGACGGTGCCCAGCTTACTTCTGGTACCAGATTTCCAGTGACAAGCGCATATTCAAGTAGAGTTCTGGTTCCAAATTGTGCGACCGACTTTACTAGACTGCACCAAGTGTACAACTATGCTTGGCTGTCACAGCTGTTGACAGTCACAATCCTTGGCTATTTTGGGGATGGGTAGATTGGAAATTTGTCATTCCTGCAAGAATTATTGGTTCCTTACTGTCAACTGACAACCATGAGACCATTCGAAAGGATATGAAATGTTGTTTGTCACGAAGCACAGTGCCGTGACCTATTTACGCCCTATTGTTGTATGGGAAGTCGCTGTAAGATCATGCATAACCTGTATCTTGCTCTGGTCTACCACTGACATTGGCTGGTATTGTGAACCACTTCAATATGTATACTTACACAATCTTCTGTGTTAGTGGGGACATTCTATCCAGTATTGTTTCATCATCATTCTTGGATTTTCCCCCCATTTTCGCTTGATTTGCTCAAACTGCTGCTAGACTGCCGACAAAGGAAAACAAACATGACAGCCTAACCATGTGTTTTGATTAATAATAGCATCATTAGACATATGGTAAAAGAGTGTTGAAGAAGCCATGTTACATTGCAAAGCCGAAGTGAGTGAGTGAGTGGGTTTAGTTTTACGCCGCACTCAGCAACATTCCAGCCATATGGCGGTGGTCTGTAAATAATCCAGTCTGGACCAGACAATCCAGTGATCAACAGCATGAGCATCAACATGCGCAATTGGGAACCAATGACATGTGTCAACCAAGCCAGCGAGCCTGACCAGCCGATCTCGTTAGTCGCCTCATTCTAACCCAGACCTTCACGGGTGCAAAGCCTGAGACATGAGGTGAAGATAAACAGATCTTTCTAATAGTAACTATACTGATTTTACAACCAAGGGCCACTGACTTTTATTAAATTCAATCAGACCTTTGTACTAATGTGTAAGAGTAACCATGGCAACAGCATTAACTACATAATAACATAAGCACCAATGACATGCTCATCGATGTAAATATATTAAAGAGAGAATACAGCAAGACATTATCTGTTGATGATTAGGTTTGGAAAGGTGTAAAGTTAGATCACTGCGATAGACATGTTTCATGATGGAGCAATTAATGATTGTAGACCACTGACACTGAACCTCTGTATGCAAGAAAGAAGAGACAATGCCTCACCCGCCCCTTGTTGAAGACGAGGATATCTTCTGAATTGGACCCATAGAGGGAGCCACTGTGTCGACGTGACTGAATGTTGTCCTGCTCCTGAACATAATGAGCAAAAACAGCCAGATGAACAATATGGACAATATCATCCAAAACTGTGCAAATTTGACGAACATTTTACATAATGAAATGTTGCGTGATTTTCTTCATTGTTGCTGAACAGAAAAAAAAGCATACACACAGACGTTGACTAGAAGTGTTTGCAAGTACTTGAAGAAAACTGATGAGTGCCCTACGCCACTAGTTTCACAATGTTCCTCAAATCATTAAAATCATAAGATAGCAAGTACCTTGAGTCTTAAACCTTTAATTCATCACTTTAACAACGAAGAAACCTCCTAAGATCCAAGATTTGCCAAAAGTATGTGTGAAAGTGTGCTTTTGTATAAGTGACTGCTTATACTAGCCAACACTATAGTCCGTTTGACTTCATTTTAGACCGATGAATTGCTGACTAACACAAAATCTAATAATTGCAACAAAACCAAAGTTTGCACAGTCACATCAAAATCAACAGACCAACTCTGATGATTTGTCTCATAATTTTGGACACCCGAATAAAAAGTTGTTTAACAAATGAACATTATTTTGTTGTCACTTTTCGCTATTTCTTACGAGGGGGAAATACTTGCTGGTAGGACAGACAGGTGTGCAAGTTGTACGTGTAAAATTGAAATTCACTGTACACACACGGTGATTACCTGGCTGTTCTACCACAAATGAAGTCAAACGGACTATAATGCCAGTTTTAGAGTGCTCGCCCACCAAGATACCATCCCACATGCCCTGAATGAATATTAATGTCAACGAATGAGTGAGTGAGTTTAGTTTTATGCTGCTTTTAGCAATATTCCAGCAATATCACAGCGGGGGACATCAGAAATGAGCTTCACACATTGTACTCATATCGGGAATCGAATCCGGGTCTTCGGAGTGCGGGTCTTCGGAGTGACGAGCGAATGCTTTAACTACTAGGCTACCCCCGCTGCCCTAATGACAATGAACCAAGAAGTGACATGAAAAAGAGGAAGCACAAAAGGTGAGCTGCAGTACCTAAGCCAATTTCAACTGTAACCATGGTAACAGTTTAACACAAACACAACACTAACCGGGTTGAGCAATGGTTCTGTGTCATCAGATACGACATCTACCGTCATCTCTAGGCTAGATTTCGAGACTTCTGGCTTGACCAGCGAATATATCACTGAACTGCAACAAGAACAGAGTGGTCAGGGTATTTTTAGTGCATACAAATTGTAAACATCTAATAGTAAAGTTAAACAAGAACTTTCAACTAGGTTAATCCGTTCCTGAGTGAGTTTAGTTTTACGCCGCTTTCAGCGATATTCCAGCAATATCACAACTGGGGACATCAGAAATGGGCTTCACACATTGTCCCCATGTGGGGAATCCGGATCTTTGGCGTGACAAGCGAATGCTTTGACCACTAGGCTACCCCACGGCCCGTCTTTGAGGTCAGGTGAGGTAGGGATTAATGTCCATCCAAGTTTATTGTACTTGTTTGCAGTGTTTAGCTGCTCCTAATAGTCCGGAATCATGCCAGTTGTATAGCTCCAGCTCACTTAGATTCCCTGTCACAAGTTTATATGAATACCCATTCGATTTCGTCCTTATTTTATTCCCCTTAAATCCACAGTGCCTTTCAGGGTAGCAAATACAATCTTTAACATCACAGGAGTCAAATCCCCAAACTTTAGTTCTCTTCAGATTGTTTCAATCATGGAGGTAAATTATTACTAAATACAAACATTTATGTACATAGTGAAATATATACGAAAATTGACTCCATTCTGTTGCACTGTTTATTCATAAATCCAAAAGGCTTATTATCCAACAAAATAAAATAAGTTCCATCTATTTGTATTTCCTTTTCTGATTTTAGCTTTTGGTGACAGCTAAACCACAAAATATACACAAAGCCATCAAAGCCAAGTCTAGAATTAAAACGTGAAGTACAGGTCGTACCATTCTCTTCCCACAGAGGTTACTTGTCATATCTTCCTACAAACCTCTGTTCTAATACGGCCCTTTCATGGTGCGAGTGTTCGGGATTCGTGATTGTTTGCAATCAGATTTAGCTGTGCAATCAGCGACGTTGTATGCTTCGGGAAAACTAAAACCTCTTTGACTGTGCGATGCGCAAACGTTTCTTCTAGACAGAACTCAGTCATGTTATGGCGGATCAATGGCGTCTCCATCGCCCTCGTTGACAACGGACAAGCTAGCCAATAAATGTCTTGTGTGTCACATCCACACAAGTCCCCGGCAGAGGAGAGATATTTCTAGCCCCATATTTGCTTGCATTAGTCAAGTTGGATCAAAGTCGATGTAATCGATTGGATAGAAAGAAGGGAGATAATTTGTGTTGCGATTTTTTGCTGCTAGGGGAGTTTACGAGAACAGGGAAATATGGCCATATTAGAACAGAGGTTCGTAGGAAGATATGACAAATAACCTCTGTGGAAAGAGAATGAGGTCGTACAGGTAGCTGGAAAACAATGGTGACCCTTGAAGTACAGGTTGTACAGGTAGCAGGAAAACAATGGTGACCCTACCTGAAGACAGCTATGCAAACACCAGCATAGTTCATCCCGATCTGGTTTGGAATCGATGGAGTCAACCCAAAAAGACCAAATCTGTAAATGATGAGTGCATGTGAGTGACTATGGTCTTAGACTAATGCCCTTTTAAATATTCCAATATTAGCAACATCCACTTTTAGTGATATTCTACCAATATTCTAGCAGACGACACCTGAAATTGGCCTCATGTCTTGTACCCATGAGAGAAACTGAACCCAGATCTTTGGTGTGATAAGCAAACCCTTTGACCACTGGGCTACCTCATCATCTCCACGGGATGTTGGATGAAAAGTTCAAATTTATCAAAAAATTGAAACAAATGTTCAAATGTTTTAGATATATTTTTGGCAATACTCCAGCAATATCTAAGCAAAGGCAGAAGTTAATCATCATCCAGAAACTAAACCAACATCAAAACATGTACAGATGCATCAATTCAAGTAACAAATAGAAAACAGACAAATTAATGGCAAAATGGTTAAGAAATATATACTTTCAGTCACAACAAGAAAAGTAGAGCCACAAGACCCTGTCGGTATGATTGACACATGAACATGAGAAAACACACTTGAAGCACACATCAGTAAACGAGAGAACACCTTCATTACTAAATGAGTGAACACACATGAGTGAACACATATGACCATGTTAGTGAACACACATGAGTGAACACACATGACCATGTTAGTGAACACACATGAGTGAACACATATGACCATGTTAGTGAACACACATGAGTGAGCACATATGAGTGAACACACATGACAAACGAGTATGACCATGTTAGTGAACACACGAGTGAACACATATGACCATATTAGTGAACACATATGACCATATTAGTGAACACATGAGTGAACACATGACCAAATGAGTGAACACATATGACCATATTAGTGAACACACATGACTGAACACATATGACCATGTTAGTGAACACACATGAGTGAACACATATGACCATGTTAGTGAACACACATGACCATATTAGTGAACACACATGAGTGAACACATATCACCAAATGAGTGAACACACATGAGTGAGCACATATGACCATGTTAGTGAACACACATGAGTGAACACATAGGAGCATGTTAGTGAACACACATGACCATATTAGTGAACACACATGAGTGAACACATATCACCAAATGAGTGAACACACACGAGTGAACACATATGACCATGTTAGTGAACACACATGAGTGAACACATATGACTATATTAGTGACTGACTGAGTTTGGTTTTACGCCGCTTTTAGCAATATTCCAGCAACATTACGGCGGTACCATATTAGTGAACACACATGAGTGAACACATATGACCATATTAGTGAACATACATGAGTGAACACATATGAGTGAGTGAGTGAGTGAGTTTAGTTTTACGCCGCACTCAGCAATATTCCAGCTATATGGCGGCGGTCTGTAAATAATCGAGTCTGGACCAGACAATCCAGTGATCAACAGCATGAGCATCGATCTGCGCAATTGGGAACCGATGACATGTGTCAACCAAGTCAGCGAAACTGACCACCCGATCCCGTTAGTCGCCTCTTACGACAAGATAGTTGCCTTTTTATGGCAAGCACATGGGTTGCTGAAGACCTATTCTACCCCGGATCTTCTAGGGTCACATATTAGTGAACACACATGAGTGAGCACATATGAGTGAACACATATGACAAACGAGTATGACCATGTTAGTGAACACACAAGTGAACACATATGACCATATTAGTGAACACATGAGTGAACACACATGACCATATTAGTGAATGCATATGAGTGAACACATATGACCATATTAGTGAACACATATGAGTGAACACAAATGACCATATTAGTGAATGCATATGAGTGAACACAAATGACCATATTAGTGAACACATATGAGTGAACACATATGACCATATTAGTGAACACATATGAGTGAACACAAATGACCATATTAGTGAATGCATATGAGTGAACACATGATAAACGAGTGAACACATATGACAAACGAGTGAACACATATGACCACATGAGTGAATGCACATGAGCACATGATTGATCACATAACTGTATGAGAGAACACACATGGACATATGAGTGAATCCACACAAACATTAGAGAACACGCAAGTGAGTGAACATATATGACTATATGAGAGAACACACATGAGCACATGAGAGAACACACACAACATAAGAGTGAACATACATGAACACACAAGAGAACAAACATGAACACATGAGTAACACACATGAACAGATATATGCAGATTAGAGGACACACATGTACAGATGGCCAACAACAGAAAGCACCTACCTGCCAGTTGCCCATCCAACCAGGAGGTTTATAGAGCCCCAGACACACAATCCCAGTCCAAGACCTATTGTCTTAATGATCGTACAACGCATATATTGCCTAGTGACAAAAAGAAACATTTCTCATAAACACAAAGGAATTTCCTTAAATTGGTTTACCAATTCCAACAACACCAAAAAGTGGAAACAAATAATAATTTGAGAAACAAAACTTTTATCCTACCAGAAGCAGACACGTCTTGTTCACCATGTTTAACTGATAGACAAAATAATTGTCTTTAAAACATGTAACATTGTATCAAATAAAGCTGAACACATAAGCCACTTTCACACTGAAAAAAAACACATATTTGGTGATTGAGACGATGATGGCACGATAGCATATGCACTACAGAGAGTAATTCTTTGTATACAATGAATTTAATATTGGGATAATTTAACATGTCAGTTTTGATATCTTCGTTTGATATCTTGATCTTGCTGATTACCAGTCACATTTTGTTTGTTTGCCATATGGCTGGAATATTGCTGAGTGTGGAAAAGAAATAAACTCACTCACTCAAATGGTAACCAGCATATGATCCTCAGGGGTGGAAATAACTTTAAAAGTGCTAGTGTACTCCGGTACAGTGGCACATGTGAAATCACTTGCCCTGATAATTTTTCCACTATACCAGCTGTTTTCTTGTTGATTTTTTACATAAACAACATAATTAACATTGGAAAGTCAACTGGACACCGGTACAGTGTGATATACACATTTGCTTGCCCGACAGAAAAAAACACTGGACTCGGGCGTCGGGCAGTGGGTTATTTCCACCCCTGATCCTTTACAAACTTTGAGTAGTATAATTGCTGTGGAGCTATTCTAATCTTGACTTTCCATGGAGAAGGTTGTGATGTATAATCAGGAATTTGATTTGAATGTCACAGGAGACAAAGACAGTTTTTGGACCATGACCATGACCATGTTTTTATTAATCTAATAATCCGTTTAGTTTGTTGTTTAACACAATTCCTGTAGAGATGTCGGAAGGACAGGGTGTAGTGAGAGGGCTATCTGTAGCTAGTTCTGCATGCGTTCAATAGGGTTGTGGTCTTGGACACATCAATAAGGCATGTCCTAATAAGGTGACACTTTATTGACCGTGTGGATTAAGTCTGGCATACTGTCTCACATAATATTCCAGAAAGTCATCCCTGCACCCGATGGCCTGGACCTTTGCTCACAATATCAAACAAAATATGTGATCCGTACGATGATGGAATCATCATTTACAGTCATATGACAGGTCCCTCATCCAACAGAAAAAACAGGAACTTGACCTTCAAACACGATTACAAAAGATGAGATGCCTACCTGTAGCCCAGATAACTCCTCCAACCATCACAAACGAGTAGAAGCGAGACATGCGGATCATCTGTATAACCAGGCCCACCATGAAGATGGCATTGCACAGCACCCACTGGAAAAACATCCCTGAAACATTGTATAGTATTTATTTTGACAGTTTGTTTGTTTGTTTAACCCTACACTCAGCAATATTCAAGCTACATCTCGGCGGTGTGTAAATAATCGAGTCTTGACCAGACAATCCAGTGATCAACAGCATGAGCATCAATCTATGCAATTGGGATACGATGACATGCCTCAACTAAGTCTGCAAGCCTGACCACCAGGACCCTTATTCTCGAAACGTTCGTAGCCCTAAGAATTCTAACTTTGATCGTAGCCAATGTGTTAAGAATGGGCTTAAGAAGTTCGTAGGGCTACGAACGTTTCGAGAATAGCTAGCCTGATCCCATTAGTCGCCTAATATGACAAGCATGGGTTACTGAAGATCTGGGGTCTTCAGCATATAACTGTTTCCACACAATCAGTATCATAATTCCATCAATATTCACTTACACATTCACTCACATTTTACCATAAAAACTGGCTTAGTTGAGCAAGCAAATTAACATGTGTTATTAAATGGCTGTGTATTGGGGCTATATCCCTAATACAATTCTATTGCCACTGCAGAAGTTGTAAAGCAATTTTACTCATCATAATTAAAATGTGATAAAGTAGCACTGTCAATATGAGCCATTTTCCTCCCTGTCAATTCACACAAAAGGGAAGTAACTCTAAAATGAAAATATAATCCTTGCTAACCAACACACCAGTAGGTTTGAAAATTACATGTTTTATATCTATTTATATGTTATTGCAACAACTAAAACTCCTGATTCTTATTCATGCTATCAACAATACAACTGTAATTATTATAATTCCTATCTATTAAGTACTATTGTCAGGCAAACAATTTCAATACATCAATAGTTTGTAATATTTGTTCTATCATTACACTTGTAGTTATTAAGCAAGTAACACCCTGACTAAACATCTGGGTTTTATACAGAAAAATATTTTTTATAAACAGGTGCAAACACCAATCAATGTGGCTGCCTTTCACTTTCAGCCATGTTTAAAACTGCATCACACAGGGTCTATGCAATTAGGTCTTAGCATGTTTACAGACACTGCTTGGAACATACTTGCAAGGTTTCAGCTTCATCAATGTTAATAGACCTTGAGTTATAGACATGATAACATGTAACAGTTTACAAATTGCTACCAACAATATTTAAAAATTAATTTAATAATATTTCCCCAAGCACTGACAATATCACCTGACTAACCATTGAGTCTTGCAGCTGTTTCATTTATTATTTCATAAATTATCACAGAGTTAACATTCTGCCCGCAAGAGTTGCATGATATTCATTATCTAGGTGTCACACGATCGCTATATAAATTTTTTTAATAGCATTGCACAAAAGAGGTTAGGAACCATTACAATACAAATGTAACGTTACATTTGATTGTGTTTGTTTGATTTATATTGTTTCCAAGAGGCAACAATAACTTACCATCTTCAATTACCAAACATCACGCCAGTTCTGACCTATGTCCATTTTGACATTGATATTTAGCAGGGCTTTTAAGTGGAGTATGACGTGGGCTAGCAACATGTTTACTTAAACAGCCCTCCTGGCCAGTGAGTTTTCAAAATTAATTCCTACACTTCCTGCAAGCATGGCAAGTTAAACATATGCGGTGTGTGGTCCGGGGCGTAGAGCTCAGGTCACAATCAGTTGAAGTTAAGCAACATTGGTCGCGGTCAGTCCTCAGATGGGTAACCATGTGTGGCAGCTTGACTCCTTAGAGTTTCTAGGACTTCAGTCCTGCCCCACAACGAAACACATGTGATACATGTGGTCTCACCTTAGGCAAGTGAGTTTGTTCCAACTTGCCTCTATCCACCCAGCAGTAAAACTGAGCTCCTGGTATGATACGATGGTAGTCTGAATTTGAACCTTGAGAGCCTGACAGGCTACTGGTTGTATTCTCTACAGGGAGTGTTCTGTACTCGTTAACTGGGGTAATATGTCAGCGCTTTCAGCATGCAATGTGCATGGATAAATGTGCAATATATATGGACTATTATTAGTATTATTATATGCTTCACGTACAAAATGTCAATAAACAATCATGAACATATGATAAATGTGATAAACAATTGTTTCCATTCTTACCATCTCCTGTTTCAAACTTCTTGACTGGGATAAAGTTTGTGCCATAAAATGTCGCTGATACGACACAACTGATGAAACCCAGGTATTGAGGATACACGGGTATGCTGCTGCCATTTGTGTTGTTACCAAACAGAAGGCCGTGGTCAAAATCAATCAAGGCAGCCATCTTCAGTGATCTTGTTCTGAAAAAAAGCAAAAACATGAAGTCACAAACTTCTATAAAATTTAATTTGATGCATGTAAATCAGCCTACACAGGGGTGGAAATAACCCATTGCCCGACGTCCGAGTCCAGTGGTTTTTTCTGTCGGGCAAGCAAATTCGTATATCACACTGTACCGGCGTCCAGTTGACTTTCCAAAGTTAATTATGTTGTTTATTTTAAAAATTCAACAGGAAAACGGCCAGTATAGTGGAAAAATTTTCAGGGCAAGTGATTTCACATGTGCCACTGTACCAGAGTACACTAGCAATTTTAAAGTTATTTCCACCCCTGCTACAACAGGTTACGACAACAAACCAGTGAATAACTAACAATAACTAACAGAAGGCGTGTAAAAATTGAACTGCGATGAAGTTGTGTCAAACACGTTGGTAGACCTGTAACTACGCTCACATATGGTGTTGTCAAAATACAATTATGGTCCAAATGAGGTCCAGTAACAATAATCATGATAATACATTCAACAAAATAAACATGATAAAAGACCCTGGGGTCTCTTTATATCAGGTGAAATGGGATGCATGAATGCAGGATGATGGGCCTAACATACACATTGAGAGCATGAAGAATAACACAAGTAAACATGGCAACCGCTTTAAAAACTGCAACAACATACTTATTACAGACACCCATTTTCCTTAAGCCACACAACCTTTGGATACTCCAGAGGCTGAGAATGAAATCTGAGTGCAAAGTCTAAGTAGAAATAATGCAGCACCATATCAATTTATTAATTACACTTGCGTAACCTTGATTTGTTGATGTACGGGAAGTACGGCGACATTCATATTTTAAATGAATGATTTCATTTTGTATATGCACTGATTATTTTATTCAATGATTCAGCAAATTGAAAATGCCTAATATTCCACTCATGAATGAAACGTTTGTTTACGGAAGCCATTTGCAATCATCACCTAGTCGTGTGCCCACAAAATGTGACCTCACCTTGTTTCGTGGATTACGTAGTCGGTTACTTTATACCACTATGTACGACATCCCACTGCTGTAAGTATTGACACCAAGGAAAGCAGACAACGAGAAGTGAGAATGTTGGAGCTAACGGTATCCTTTTCACTTGACATTTTGTAAAAAGAAAATTTGGTAATGATGGTATTAGTGATTTGGGGCTATTTATCCCAATGCTGGACAATTATATTTAGTGTACTTGTGTGTAATGCAGAGATTCGGAACTTTTTTTGTCAGCAAGGCGTGGCATTGTGTGTACATCAAAAGTGCCGCTTTGTGACATCAGTCAAAACTAAATTTACGAGCAAGCATGATAATTTCCGCGATCCACGAATCAAGGTTATCCACGAATTTAGGTTACGCTTCTGTATAATTCTGGTGCCGACCCTATTTTTTTTAAGCGGTATGAATAGAATAAGCTTTCAGATACCATTGTTTTTTCCCAGCATCAACAGACATCAGTCATTCTGATACAGAAAGTCGACATGAGTAGTGTTTTTACTAGTTTGTTGTTATCTAAGTGAGATACACAAAATGGAACGTATCCAAGCCATGCAGTAGTGTAACTTGCGTTAGTTTACAGGACTGTCATTTGTCTATAAAAAGTATAAGCAGCATTATTCCACATGTATTTCTTTTTTTCGCTTTACACAAAATATTATTCATATGTTTCAACTTAAGCAATTACAAGACATGTTTGTTATTTTTTTTATTTTATATCAAACAAAGTATTCATGAATAAATATTTATATTCGTTACTATACATTCGTAAAACATAATGGTATCGCAATGCATTGCTTTTTTTGCTTTACAGAAAATATCATTATATATTTCAACTTAAGCAATTATGTGACAAGTCTGTTATTTGTATTTTTATTATTTTTAGGTTTTTTTATTAAACAAAGTATTCATGAATTAATATCCACATTCATTAGTGTATATTTGTAAAACTTGTATTTGTTGCAACCATATTAAATAGACACAGCAATTTCCACAGTAAATACGTTTATTAGGGTAATTTAAACTAAACCTCCATGATATTTAATTTGTTATAACAAATACAGAGCTACAGATAACTTTTGGGGTCATTGAGTTATGTACCCGCTTGTGTTCATCTCATCTGGGTATCCTAATTTTTCTTTGAGTAACCAAATACATTGTACTCACCTCACTCAAACTCAACTGGGTATTTTGCCATTTCTATTAAATGTAAAAATATAATAAAGTTTAAATGTTAGTTATTTATATTTGATCAGTAATATGTGAGGTGAGGTGAGGTGAAATTGGGTTCAACGCCGTACTTGAGAATATTTCGCTCATATGACGACGTGCATGTGTATGTGCTGCTGCTTGTACTAGCCCAGACTGAAGCTGGTTTTATAGTGCTAGCCCAATGAGATACCATGCCACAGTGAAGCATGAATACCCCACTCAGACACATTATACTGACTCCGAGCCGACCAGTCCTTGTTTTACCCATAAATGCCGAACGCCATGCAGGGACCAACAAGTACCAGATTTAAACGTCTTTTGGTATGACGCGGTCGGGGATCGAACCCGCTACCTTCTGCTCTCTGGGCTGACGCTCTAACCACTACACCACGGAGGCGGTCTCTGTAATATGACTGACTGACTGAGTTTGGTTTTACGCCGCTTTTAGCAATATTCCAGCAACATCACGGCGGGGGACACCTGAAATGGGCTTCACACATTGTGCCCATGTGGGGATTCGAACCCGGGTCTTCGGCGTGACGAGCCAACGCTTTAACCATTAGGCTACCCCACCGCCCCTCTCTGTAATATGAGAAACGATAAGAAAGACTGCAAGTTGCCAAGTTCATGTCCTGAAATAGAACCTCTCAATATACCTGAGTTATTTTATCTATCCACCAGTACACAAGCTAAGATTTGACATGTTTGTGTGTACACATGTAAGATCACATTTATTGAGTATTTTCAAAAATTCAAGCGAACGTGTATGCAATAGACGAAATAGGAATTGAGTTTTCACATAAACATTTGCATAATTGACGCAGCTTATCTGTACCTCTGAAATACAAAGTAAATGTCCTATATCAAGATCAAAAGGATGTCACTAAAACTGCCACACTTCACTCCCACAATGCATGGACAGGTGATTAAAACTAATATGAATACCACTGGGCAAGATAGGGATATATGATACAGGTGACTTCATAACTGTGATAACCAGATAACTGGGTGGTTATCAATGCCATCAGCTGGAGTATTTGTTATCACCTGTTTTAGTTAATGTAGGTATGTAGATCAAGGTAATCACCACCATCATACATGTCATTCATCTTGCACTGGTCTTGATCACACATGTGTACCTATCTTAAATATGTGTCACAACATCCATTGTTCATTTACAAAGTGTACAGTTAATTCCTTATAAAGATAGATCAATATTCATGAATATTTCCCTGACACTTTTAATGAACTACAATTATTATTTTAAAATATATATATTAAAACAGTAGGGGTTTATGTCACCATGTGTGTATTGTTGCACTATTATTAGTATGATTACTGATTATCCACTATTACTAGTTTGATTACTGCAGGAACATATAAATAAAACAACACCTTCCAATAGAACATGTTATTGAGCATTGTTGAGAGTTATGATGCAATGAAACTTTTCCCAGACCAGGTGAAAGACCTTTCTAAGTGTAACAACTTTCTGAAAAGAAATGTTGGTAATTATAACCGTTAAAGATTGTTGAGAGTTATGATGCAATGAAACTTTTCCCAGACCAGGTGAAAGACCTTTCTAAGTGTAACAACTTTCTGAAAAGAAATGTTGGTAATTATAACCGTTAAAGATTGTTGAGAGTTATGATGCAATGAAACTTTTCCCAGACCAGGTGAAAGACCTTTCTAAGTGTAACAACTTTCTGAAAAGAAATGTTGGTAATTATAACCGTTAAAGATTGTTGAGAGTTATGATGCAATGAAACTTTTCCCAGACCAGGTGAAAGACCTTTCTAAGTGTAACAACTTTCTGAAAAGAAATGTTGGTAATTATAACCGTTAAAGATTGTTGAGAGTTATGATGCAATGAAACTTTTCCCAGACCAGGTGAAAGACCTTTCTAAGTGTAACAACTTTCTGAAAAGAAATGTTGGTAATTATAACCGTTAAAGATTGTTGAGAGTTATGATGCAATGAAACTTTTCCCAGACCAGGTGAAAGACCTTTCTAAGTGTAACAACTTTCTGAAAAGAAATGTTGGTAATTATAACCGTTAAAGATCACATATACTCTAGGGGGGTACACATGCATAAATCTTTTAATGGCATAGTTTTAATCAAACCCCGTCATTAAAACTACTCATTTCGACCCTTAATTAACTTAAATCAACCTTTCTGACAACACTGCACAATTCTCTCCCTCAAACGAAATTTCAACCAATCAGAAGGGGCGTGTCTCCGTGACGTAATGTGAGGTATTAATATGAGGGGCACTGTAGAATTCATGTACATTTCCAGGGATAAATTATCTTGTTTACAGGTTTGTCTAAACCTGAAATCGTGACAATTGTTGTGAAAAGTGAAAGCTTTATGTTTTCACAATCTACTGTCATTTAATCTTGTCACCTGCTTTGCCTAGCTTCCAAATTACAACTTGTTTTCATAGACAATTCTGTCAACATCGCTTGTCATACCCGTTACCTGTTGGCTAGCTCTGGCTTTTGTTACCATTTATGTCAAGTGATTTCAATATGGTTAATTCAGTGGGTTGGCATTTCTGTACAAAGCAGACTGTATCATGTCCAGAAGTAATTCAGACAGCGACAATCTTTCCATTGAATCTTCAATGAAGAAACAATCGCTAGGCCTTAATTGTTCGAGCCAGACGCTAGTGATAGTGAAAACTATGATCAGCCTCGCTCATCACGATCAACTAGTATCTACATAGTGGTGAGTGGACGTTAATGTAGCAAGAAATTTATTGCACAATATTATTATTAATATTATTATACAATATTTATTTAGGCAACTAGTGCTTGCTCAAGGCGCTGGTATTTTTTCCCTCGATCATTGGATGTCAATCTCAAAGGCACATCATGTTATCAATCTCAACTCCCTAGGGGGAGTATACAACTCTTGCAGCCACTAGGCACAACGAGTTATTGTGGCTTTCTCAATATTGTCACTTCGACCTCCACCTCGCTTCCGTGGAAGAAATCGTTATGTTACAAGTTGTGTCATGCAAAATCCTTTTGGTCATGATTCAAATACATATTTAACTACGAGTAGAAAGTAGTTTTGATTTTCTGACTTGATGAAAACAAACCATAATCTCATTTATTCTCGAACAGACTTTTGCCCATGACTTATGATTTTTAAAAATTGCGACGTCCTGTCACGAACATCCGACAGTCTGAGAACAAATGCTATTTAGGTTTGTTTTCACCGAGTTACAAAATCAAAACTACTTTGTACTGTTTCTTTGTACTGGTAGTAAAATATGTATTTGATTGATGGCCAATAGGATTTTGCATGACATAGCTTATAACATAACAATTTCTCTCTTGGAAGCAAGGTGCGTGTCAATATAATACTACTTACAATACTATTGTCACTTTGACCACAACCTCGCTTCCGAGGAAGAAATTGTTATATTACAAGTTGTATCATGCAAGATCCTTTTGGTCATCATTCATATACATATTTTACTAAAACTGGTAAGTAGTTTTGATTTTTTTACTCGATGAAAACGTCGAGAAATCAGCAAAATGACGAGCTTATTACACACTTTATAGACAACTGACTTCAAATCCTTCCTCCCATAACGTCACTTCCGGTTCGCTGCAGTGCTCTGGTGACAGAATTACGTAACCTCTCTGTGGTTTCGCTGGCAGGCGAGAGTGAAGCAGACGGCTTTTTGGCAACTTTTAATCACTCGTAAATAATTAACCACAAGTTTTTTAAAGAAAGAATTTGGTGTTCCGTTGAAGACTAACCACAAGTCTTTCATATGTAATGGTTAAAAGTGTACAAAAATACGAAGTTTATTCGTTCTTTAAAAACATACCACCTGTTGAGACCAAACGAAAACTGTGAAATTTGCACATGTAATCAGAAATAGGTTTCAAATGCTCTCCAAGCAATCCCATCTAGATCTGCATGTGACTAATACTGCTAGGATGGGTCCAAATTTAATTCAGATGCAAAACGTGGCTACAATATGCATGATTGAGACTGAAAACATGTGTGACAGAAGTGAAACAATGTTTACTGTCATTGAAGAATATATCCTGTGACTAACCTTGGGTCTGAGTAGTCCTGTAGGTACTAGGGTAATAATGATAACCATCCTACCCAGATTTACCCATCCCTGACCTACATGTTATCTAATATTTGTGAATGAATCTGTCATATACAACATGTACAAGGTACAGATCTCTGTGTGTACGAATACCAGTAGTTGTCCACATCTGCACATGACTCAGTGTCATCCATAATGGTTGTTAGTCACGCTTTATTTGTAGCCCATTAATACAATAGCCATGAGATGAAACTGTTGTGAGTAGTTTCTTGGAGAGACACTTAGAAAATGGTGTTTATACTCTGACCTTAGGCATTGTGTAGCTAACTGGCTTCCCCATATTGACTGTAAAAACTCTTTCTCACACTTGTGTATATGTATCTAAATCCCTTTTCTGTTCATCATTTGCAAGGTGTTCGAATCTGCATAGAAACTTTCCAGTCATACAGATCGAAGTTGTTCATACATCGTTATTCTTCTTTGTTACAAGTTTTGCGTTTGAGTGTAAAAACTGAAGTATCTTCAAACTCTCAGCACCAACACCCGTTATGAATGCCAAATTTCATCAATTATTCATCATCAACACCCATGATACATCATACCCTGCGATTTGGTTACTAAAATAACCTAACATCCAATCTCGTGACTGAACTGGTTTTGTCTTCTGGCAAGCTCATTCAACCGCTATCAGCTCCAGGCGGCGACCAACTTATAATGACATGATTATTGCTACTACAATTAAAAAGATAAAATTCTAATATATGGTGGGATCACAGTAGAACCTGAAACGCTAGCATCATTATCCATGAACATACCTTTCCTCAGATCCTCGCTATAGTTTCATTTCATCTCCAGAAAACAGGACTTAAGCTTTTCGACAAGTTGGTGTCAACACAAAGCTGTCATGTGATTATGTTGTTAGAGTTGCTCCCCTTCGTGCTGCTAATCGATGAAACTCCGCGCACTAACGCTCTGTGTGGAGCTACAAAAGAAGGGGAGATAAGTCACTTCCGCGTCAATCTCGGACTCAAAGGCAAGAACGAAAACAAACTTGCTCGCCCGATGAATGTGTAAAAATGCGAGGCTGTGTACTGTTTACGGGATTTTTTCTCAGTAGTACATGCTTTCTGCATTTGGCTGTGTGTATTGAGCCAATCTCCGGCATTTCCGCTGCCGCTGCAGTAGTAGCCGCGGCCGTCATTTCTGGGTTCGATGTCTTGAAGAGTTATGTTACTGAAACCTGTGGAGACCGCTGGATAGTCAACAACCACACAGGTACTGGCGAGGATGCTTTACTCTAGACAGTCACACTTGACCTTGGCCTTTATACCCGTTACATCTGTTGTCACACCCTTTACACAATTTATATTTTTATTATGTGCAACTCAGATCAGGTTATAATTATGATATTTATCAAATAAATTTGAAGCGGTGCATTTCCGCATGAGGATATTAACATCATTCAAGGTTTGATGTCCTAAGGTTTTCATTCAAACCCTTTTTGAGAATTTTCATCACATAATAAAGAAGTTTGGAAATTGCTAATGAAATATAAATCTATAATATTTTTTGACAATTTTCAGTGCAAATTAATGACATAGATATTCAGTGTTTGTTTTCAAAAGGAAAATCTATGCAAAATTGTGTTCTTAATGAAACATCTTTTCCTGAACATGATATAAATTTCCATTTTGTCCAAAAACTTATGTTTTTCAAGCTGAGGAGGTTCATTAAATATTCATCTCTATGATCATATAAAACCATTTCGTGTGGAAGTTGATAGTTTGTGAAATAATGAGAAAAATGTTCAAATATAGCCGGATCGGCCTATAGCAAAATAGGCAGAACGGCCTATAATATCCTGTTCGGCCTATTATAGGCCGATTGGTAGGTTTCCCAAACCTGCAGATAGAGATATGACTTATGAGCAGCCTTGTTAGGCTAGTTTTCAGCAGGATATGAAGTGGTATTCAATTGGCTCTAACCCTTATTTATGTCATTTGTGGTGCATTTGTTTGCTACTCGATTGTGAATCGGCATGCCTGTCCTATGAAAGATATGTTTCAAGTTTGCAAGCCAACACTGTCTGTGATTGAGTGTAAAGAAGTCATTTGTACAACAGTAACTTGTCTTACCAGAGACCATATAATAGATATATGGTCTCTGGTCTTACATAGTATGACCATGATGACGGCTGTAGACTTCAAACTTATACCTCAATCAAGATATATATTGTCACTAAACTGGTCATAGTACTATATGAAAGGAAAAGAATGTAACAAGGGCAGCAGTCTCTGCAAGGTGATATTAACCAAGATTACCGTAAATCCCCCTTTAAAAATGCATTCACTTCTATAGTGCCATAATCAGGGGCCTGTTTCACAAAGCGATCATAGCACTACGACTTTTGTAAGTCTATGTTAAAGTATGGGAGTTACAATCACTTTAACACTACAATCGCTTTGTGAAATGGGGCTCAGGCTGATCAGTCTTGTCGTCTTTGTTGATGCATGTCATCCATATTGTGTAGGTCGGTGCTCATGATGTCAGTCACTGATTTATCTGGACAAGGCTTAATTGTTTACAGAGCACCACTCGTCACAATATGGCTGAAATTTGGTTGACTCACTCACTACAAGCCATCATTATATAGCTGGAATTCGCCAAATGATGTGTTAAAGTTTCTTAAACAACAAACAAACAATACTTTACATGTCACAAATGGTATCAGACACAGAGTGCATAGTGGCATAAAATGACACTGGAGGCCTTCACGAAATGACGATGAGGATACAGCAGCAGCGTTTGCAACTCAAATACTGGTAAACATCCATTTCATTCAAATAATCCATACTTCAGGTCTCCCAAAGCAGCTTAATGAGAAGCTGTATGGCCAACACCTTGTTCTGAAAGCTGTGACCAATCACATCCGTGGACACATCAAGTCTGCTGAGCCTGCCAAGGCGCTTGTTCTTTCCTTCCATGGCTGGACAGGCACTGGGAAGAACTATGTTAGTCGCATTGTAGCAGAGCAGCTTTATAAAGAAGGGATGCGCAGCAAGTTTGTCCATCTCATCTCGGCAACCAAAGAGTTTCCACATGAAGGAATGGTGCCATTCTATAAGGTACATTGTTATTTGCTTTGTCACAGTAGCATTTATCATATGTATACCAGTTCAGTGGATAAAAATCCCTTATATATCTTTAACTGATGTGTTTTATTTTTATCTTGTTAATAGTAACTTATTATACCCCCGCTACGAAGTAACGGGGGTATATAGCGTTCATTCTGTCTGTCTGTCCGTCCGTCCGTCCCGAAACTTTGTTTGGAGCATATCTCTTAAAGTTGATTGATGTGCCTTTTGCTATTTTTATTTTTTTCCAGAATTTTGTTTTTTTGCTGTTTCCATGGAAACACGACTTAGTGCCAAATGTGTTTGGTGTTTTTTGTCCGGAGCATATCTCTTAAAGTTTACATGCTAGGTTCACCAAACTTCACACACATGTTAATCATTACCCATTGATGTGCCTTTTCAGAATATTGTTTTTTTTGCTGTCTCCATGGAAACACGACTTAGTGCCAAATGTGTTTGATGGTTTTGTCCGGAGCATATCTCTTAAAGTTTACATGCTAGGTTCACCAAACTTCACACACATGTTAATATTTACCCATTGATGTGCCTTTTGCTATTTTAATTTTTTTTAATGTTTTTCAGAACTTGTTTTGTTGTTGTTTCCATGGAAACATGACTTGGTGCAAAATGTGTTTGATGGTTACCTGGCCACAGCATATCATCAAAACTATACATGCTAGGTTCACCAAACATAATACACAAGTTAATCATGACCAACAGATATGCCATGTGCTAAAAAATAACAATCTTCATCTACGTCCACTTCATTGTGTGCAACAAGTTCAATTGTATGTCAGGTTTCCACGGAAAACACAAAAAAAGTAATGTTTCCATAAATTATTACTGTAATCAGTACATGGCAAAACAATTATCTAACTTGTATATAAAGTTTAGTAGAGTCAAGGAGAAAGTCTTGTGAGCTGCTGATCCTTGTCACATTTATATATCAATATCAGTCATTTCCATGTCCCAAAGTGGGAAGCGGGGGTATGTGAGCTTTGCTCACTTCTACACTTGTTTTATTTACCGTTGTTCTGTTAAATATGTTTAATTTGTTTTTCATGAGAGATTTATCTAGGATTCAAAACAAGTGACCATGGCAGGCAAGATGTTTACGTCCTTGGTGACGTCCATGAGGAAGATGTAATGTCCCAGATGAGCCAGAATCATAATCAGAAAAAAAATCTAGTTTTTCCGTATCCCGACTCATGCTTATTGCTTATCTCCCTTCTCCTTTTGATGGTTAAGTGGAAACCTGAATCCCTTTCAATTCCCTGAAGCGATCGTAATATCTCTCACCCACGAGTAGCCTCCCCTTTCCTGCCCAAACGGTTCCAGGTGACCTCAGCCTAGCTCTCATCACTCTCTCCTTCATCGCCCAAGCAGACGATTGGACAGTCGTTATGGGTCTCTGTTGCAGCTAATATCCTTTATATTTCGGCCTCTTTATCCAAATTAAGGCTGTGAATTGTATTTAAGCTGTATATATTATCTTCACAATGTTAACATTTAGGCGAAAATTTTAACTAACTGTTGTGTTTTACACTCGATTGCAGGTAACTGTTTACATATGATGGCGTGTCAACAATGCAGGCTATGATTTTCAGCGGTTGATCCACACCCTGTGTGTTCTTTCTGTACCATTCATTCATGCTCTTTAGTATCACGATGTAAATATCACGCTCATAATCATCATTTCAATTTAATAATTATTTCTTAGCACGTTTACACAAGCTAATGGAGACAAAGAAACGTGATAGCAGGGCAGCTGCTGATATGGGTGCCTATCAAGCATCAGAGTGTGAGTTGTTGGTGCAATCTTTGGAGATTCCTTCCGTGGTTTCTCTTGTCTCTGTCGCTGTTACAGAGACAGCTACACACCTTGCCCTAAGATGAAGTCCCCTTTTAGGGAAGAAATTGAGCTGCAGAGGTTAGTTAAGAAAAAGAGATTGTCTACGTCATCAAGGAAGGCATCAACGTCAAAATCTACATCACATCATTCAGCCAGATCAACAAAGTCTACAAATGTAGTTACATCATTCGAGAATGCTTTGACGACATTATATTGATCATCCCCGGTTCTCAAACAGCAGATCATCATAACAGAAACAATCATGAAAACACTTGTCTCAACGTAGATCGTCGTCTACAACATCAGAGTTTGTAAAACTCTTCAGTTAACGATCAACCGGTGTCACCTCAGTCAACTTGTTCTACTATTGCGAACCAGTCGACTAGTAATGAATCAACTTTATCTCTACTAGCTCAGAGAGAGAATACATCTGCGAATGGCGAACGCATCCACTCAATGTCATCAATGGAGTAATATGACTAAATCACAAGCATTCGCAAACCCTCTGGGTAATACTACACTACCATTAGACCAGGATTTTGTGGCTAATGTTACACAAGTGGTTTTAGCATGAAACAACAACAGTGCTCAACAGAAATACAACCTGTCAGTCAATCTACGCCAATGGAATCGATAGGCGATCCTGCCAATAAAACCGATATTTCAGGTTTCGTCGAACCTCAATCAGCATTCGTGAATGCTACTAGACACCAAGGTCATACACCGGCGTTTAATGCAAGGAAATTTCCTCTACACTGCATGGAACTGTTTTCTGAGGGCCTGAGATTGACAACGACCTCTATATCATCAGTGACTCCAAGTCTCATAGCTTCAGAGTAGAAGATAGGAAGTTGGCTAACCTAGATACTACTACTAGACATACCTTCTTTGGACTAGCTAGATCTTGAGCTATCAACAAAGCTTTAATCAACAACTTCCAGGATCCGAAAACCGAGACAGAGAGGATGAGATATTATCATCACATGTCATGCAAAAGAAAGATCAGGAATTTATGTCCGATCACCTTGCGTCTACATGGGAGGGCTTGACTTTACTGCATCAACAAGGACTCTTCTCATCTGGCAACTGGCCAGACTACCATGGTAAGTCCTTGCTACGTCAACCTTGGGCAGCATCTACACTATTTGACAGCAGCATAGACCAGCGTGTCGTCGAGAAGTATGCCAGGACTCTAGAGATCAGATGCTCATCAGATCCATGCAGACGATGGATAATATGTATCATCAGTTGTCATGGCGAGGACTGTTCCGATCGAAGTTCCCAGGCATACAGAAGGCCAAGGATAAGAGGGCTTCAAGCTTTCAAGGAGGCAAATCAGGGAATTTTCGTTGATCATACGACAACTCAAGAGGACGTTCTGGGAGAGGCCACTCATCAGGAGGCTCCCGCTCCTCTCGTCAGTGAAGATCAGGTTCAGACTTACTGGGTCGTCCCTCCCAGGTGTTCTGTAGAACCTTCAACAGGGTGTGTGTGGGGGGGGGTGTCTAGATGACTACTGGGAAAATTGGAGAATCATACAAGATGACTACGTTCTATAGGTGTTACGCGAAGGCTATGAGATTCAGCTCAAGGCGTCGACACCCCTCACTGTCACACCCTAGGTGCATCATTACCCAGAACTTCAACACATCAAACTGACGGAAGCCATCAAATCACTATTTGTAAAGAACGCCGTAGACATTCTAGATGAACACAGTCTCACACCAGGATTCTACTCTCCGATTTTCCAAAAAAGAACTCCAATGAGAAGTTGCGCCTCATCTACAACATGAAGCATTTCAACCTATGGTCTGTTTGCTGTGATACCATACCGATGAATTTCGCTTTATACAAAAAAGTAAATCAAATAAAGAGAAATTAAGATTGCAAATCCTCATAATTTTACCTTGCCAAATGAACATTTAAATCTGAGAATTTTATTCAGCATGGATAAAAGTTGTTTAACAAACGATTTTGTATGGTTTGTATGACAAGGGGGTATGCAAATTAAATGTTAACGCTCATCACGTACCACACGTGCATTTGTTTCACTGTTCCAACTACTGCACTTACCCCTTTGTAATACAAAGCAATAATAGTGATTTGAAACTATATTCGTTTGTTAAACAACTTTTAACTTTTGCAACACGCAAAGGATTCTTAGCCGCGAAAGCTACATATCCTCAAGTAGCAGAATATCTATGATCTGAGATCGACTAGACACTTGAAAGGATCTACACTTTCAACATATTTGGCAGCAATCAGCTCGGTTATCACGATGAACACAGAGTTAAACTCACCAAAGTACCTGAACTCGTCACTCTACTGAGGTCATTTATACTAGAGGATAAACAGCAGAAATTTAAAATCCTAGCCTGGGATCTCAATATAGTGCTGCAACATCTCACCAGTGACGACTACGAACCTTTAAGAGACACTTTTGAGTTGTTAACTCAGAAAACATTATTTCTCCTCACCTTAGCTACAGCAGCAAGGATGTCAGAAATACATGCAACAATGGACGAATGAAATTCGACACAGGAGAACATGCTGCAGTCCTCCTGGGACTAAGATGGGACTATATAGCTAAGAATCAACTACCTGGTCAACCAGATTGTCAATTCCACGTACCAGGATTGTCATCAGTCATCCGAGAATGAGACAGAGGACTTCTCCCAATGCCCAGTCAGAGCTTTGAAAATCAACTTAGAACTGACTGCTATAAGAAGGAGAAATTGTAAACGTCTCTTTATTCCATTGTCACCTGCCACAACTATTGTCGTCTCTCGATCCACAATCTCATTTGGATCAGAGCTATCATTCTACGAGCTTACAAAACAGCAGGACTGGCTCCACCTAGAGCATCTAACCCTCATGAAGTTAGAGCATTAGCGTCGACACTCGCACTACATGGGAATTGCTCATTGTCATCCATCATGGAGGGCTGCTTTTGGAGATCCGACTCAGTGTTTGCTAATCATTGTCTTCGAGACATTGCTACAGAGGATGTATCAGGTGTTCACCAGTTCAGTCCACGTTGACTCCTTGACGCTAGGCAACTGACCCATTGCCACCAGCAGAGAGTCCCGTGTTCCCCTGTCTTACTAAGTCAGCACATGAGTGATATAAACCCAGTTGGATAATAGTTCTTACCTTAACTTATGGGTTGTGATTCAGTTTCGGTAATAGTAATTGCCTTAACTTATGGGTTGTGATTCAGTTTCGGTAATAGTCCTTGCCTTAACTTATGGGTTGTGATTCAGTTTCGGTAATAGTCCTTGCCTTAACTTATGGGTTGTGATTCAGTTTCGGTAATAGTCCTTGCCTTAACTTATGGGTTGTGATTCAGTTTCGGTAATAGTCCTTGCCTTAACTTATGGGTTGTGATTCAGTTTCGGTAATAGTCCTTGCCTTAACTTATGGGTTGTGATTCAGTTTCGGTAATAGTCCTTGCCTTAACTTATGGGTTGTGATTCAGTTTCGGTAATAGTCCTTGCCTTAACTTATGGGTTGTGATTCAGTTTCGGTAATAGTCCTTGCCTTAACATATGGGTTGTGATTCAGTTTCGGTAATAGTCCTAACCTTAACATATGGATCGTTCTAATATAACTCGTTGAAGAGTACTAGATTATCTAAAATCCACAAAATCTATAAAATTTACTTCTTGTAATAAATTCAGAGAAAGTGGTCCCCCCTTTCGTATACAATTTAGACAACTAGGAATCCGCAAGAATAGTTTCCCAGGGGGTATGCGATCAGACTGTTTGGTTGACAGCCACAGTGAATCCCGTTAGGTGGCTGACCTGACGGGCACCACCTATTCCGTCGGAATCGGGAAGCAATAAGCATGAGTCACAATAAGTAAAAGTATGTAATTTTTATGATAAAATTGATATTTTATACTTATCCTGACTCATGATCTAAAGCCCTCCCGGCCATCCCCTCTCAGCATTATGGGCTTCACTGTAAGTCGTAATGTGGGCTTATTTCGCAGAGAGTGATTAGAACTGGGCTCAGGTCATGTGGGACCGTTTGGGCGGAAAGGGGAGGCTACTCGTGGGTGAGTGATATTACGATCGTTTCAGGGAATTGAAAGCGATTCAAGTTTCCACTTAACCGTCGAAGGAGAGGGGAGATAAGCAATAAGCATGAGTCAGGATAAGTATAAGATATCAGTTTTATCATAACATTTACATATTTAAACCCACAATATGCTGATCAAGAATGGCAAAGGGACACAATTTAACAAGGTTGCATGTTGCTTAACATCCTTGGGCCTCCACATGTCATTAATGATCTTGGTCGAAGAATAAATTGATTGTGTATGTGAATTGTTATGATCATTCTGATTGTGATTATGATCATTTTGATCATGATGATGGTGACTGCTGACATGGGTTTACATCAATCTTACAGGACCAGCTGCGATCCTGGATTGAGCACAACATCACCCACTGTTCTCGCTCATTGTTTATATTTGATGAGATGGACAAGATGCCATCAGGTCTCATTGACACCATCAAGCCGTATCTCGACTACTATGAAAATCTGGGAGGTGTCAACTACCGCAAAGCAATATTCCTTTTCCTGAGGTCAGCAATTATCAAAATAATTAAAGTTTTGTAAATATTTCTGTAAATATATGCATTTTAACTAACTTCTTAGCTCATCCATACTTTCAAGGTTCAAGTTACGTCATTTCCTGGTTCACTGACTGGTTCACTGACTGTCATCTGCTCATTATGCAGCCATTTTAAGATTGTTCAATTTCATTTGTGATGGGCAGTTAGTGTATGGTTAGTAGACTAACATATAATAATAATATTGGTTTTTGAATACTTTTTTGTCTTTATCTGTCATTATTTGATACGCATGCTTAACTGATTCATGGAAAAGTCTATTTGTATATTCTTGTTCAGCCCTTTATTATGATCTGTACATATAACAAGGACTTGAGTGAGTGAGTATGATTTTACGCTGTTTTTAGCAGTAGTCCCGCAATATCACGGTGGGGGACACCAGAAACAGGCTTTACACATTGTACCCATGTGGGGAATCGTACCTGGGTCTTCAGCGTGACGAGCAGATGCTTTAACCACCCCTCAGACCGCCTCCATGGTGTAGTGGCTAGAGCGTCCACCCGGAGAGCAAAAGGTCGCGGGTTCAATCCCGACCGCGTCATACCAAAAGACGTTAAAATATGGTACTTGTTGGTCCCTGCCTGGCGTTCGGCATTAATGGGTACATCAAGGACTGGTCAGCTTGGAGTCAGTATAATGTGTCTGAGTGGGGTATTCATGCTTCACTGTGGCATAGTATCTCAGTGGGCTAGCACCATAAAACCAGCTTCAGTCTGGGCTAGTACAAGCAGCCACACATACACACGCATGCTCGTCATCATATGAGCGAAATATTCTCAAGCACAACGTTAAACCCAATTTCACCTCACCTCACCTCAAGGGCTTAGAAGGAAGGGGAGTTATTGTTGTATTCTCACCTTCACCTTGTTCATGTTGTTTTTTTCTCTGTTCACAGCAACACAGCAGGAAAAGACATAACACAGTATGTGTATCAACAATGGTCACAGGGCTACCCCAGAGAAGATATCAAAATGGCAGATGTTGAAAAGATTATTACCCGTGCTGCACTCAACTCAAAAAGTAAAATTCATTATGGATTTAATTGAACATTTAGTATCCAACACATCTAAAGTCAAGAGGTGGATTTGACTTACACTGACTGAGTTTGGTTTTACGCCGCTTTTAGCAATATTCCAGCAACATCACGGCGGAGATTTGGCTTACAAGAAGCTCTTTCTGGGTTATGGGGGCGATGGGGTAGCCTAGTGGTTAAAGCGTTCTCTGGTCACGCTGAAGTCCCGGGTTCGATTCCCAGATGGGTACAATGTGTGAAGCCCATTTCTGGTGTCCCCTGCCGTGATATTGCTGGAATATTGTTAAAAACAGCGTAAATCTAAACTCACTCACTCACTAAGACAAACTGCTATTTGCCTAAGATTTGGATGGTTGTTTTTTTATTAACACCACACTCAGCAATATTCCAGCTATATGGCGGCAGTCTGTAAATTATCAAGTCTGGACCATGCGATCCACTGATCAACAGCAAGATCATCAATCTAGGGCATGGGTTGCTGAAGACCAATTCTAACCCGGATCTTCACAGGTATATAAGCCTGAGATCTATGATGAGTGATGCACAGTGTATACAAGTTGCAGGCCTACTCTGTTTATGAGGGACAACTGGCGGCTCAGTATGAGACGCTGTAATTCACTATGCAGAGTTGTCCCCCTTAGGCACACCACACTATTGCTGTGTTCAGTGTAAAACTAAACTCACACACACACACTCTCAAAGCAGAGTTAAACCTCTCTCTCTCCTCCTCCCTCCCTCCCTCCCTCTCTCCCACTCTCCCATTTCTTCATATCTTCTTAAACTTCAAATGATTTCACATGTTCATTAAACATGGTTAATGAAGTCCCGGTGGTGATATGACGAGTAGTATTGACTGATGGAATATGTTTCAGCTGGACTTTGGCACAGTGAGTTGATCACCAAGCACATGATCACAGCATACATCCCCTTCCTTCCCCTGGAGAAGACCCATGTGAGGAAATGCATAAAAGACAGCATGGTTGTTAAGGGTTACCCAGTGACCAGTGAGAGAGTTGAAAGTGTTATTGAGGAACTCTCATTCTGGCCTGAAAGTGAACAGGTTTTCTCTGTAACTGGCTGCAAAAGGGTAGCAGAAAAAGTGGATTATGTTATGGAGGAGATTTGATTCTCAGGAAAATACTGTCTTGTCTCTGTGGGTCAGGGTGGCATTTGAAGGGCTATGTTTGTTTAAAGGTGTTAACATCCTTTTTGGTATATATAGTACCCCAGGAATTCTGTAGCTGTTCATAAAATATGCTTTTCATAACCCCTGTGGCCAATGAAAATTGACATGTTATGTCTACAGCTACCAATTCCTGTGATGCAATATTTATATGCTTGTATCAAGATGAAGTGAAGCTGATCTCATGACATAGGACAGACATTCCGTGAATAACCAGCACCTTGATTTGAGGTCACCAGATCCTGTTGAGGTCACCCGAACCTGGAGAGGGGGTCACCAGATCCCTGAAAGGAGGTCACTGCCGAACAGGGAGATGAAGATACCTCAGGACATCTTTCTGGTGACAAATAAAGCAGGATATGTTTCCTTCACAAGCAATGGTGTTTTGAATAGTGCTACGGTTGTATGACTTTGGTGTAGGGCAAAAGCATAATTAAAGTCGAGTTCCTGAAGTTTTCCCTGCGTGAAGTCATTTCTGATTTATTAAATATTCCACTTACTCCTCTTCAAAATGGGAATTAAATGTCTTCCAATCTTAAAATCAGATCATTTACACAGATACAATATCATGCTGTGTGAAGATCAGGGATACCTCCATAGGGTGTTGTATCAAGTGTTGATAGCAAACATTTCACTACAGCTCATACTGTACTTGAAGGGCAAAAGTGATTTGATGCTACTTTTTGTCACCAGTTGAGCACAATCTAACCAGTGCTGTTGCTGGTATTTTGAAGTAATTTTAGCAAATAGTTTTTATCGCCCGGGATGTAATGCTGGGGGATATAATCGATGCCTTGTCTGTCTGTCCATGCATCCATCCGTCGGTTCGTAATCATTTTGTTTCGTGCGTTTCGTTTTGAGCGTAACTAAAAAAAATTGGTAGATAAATAAAACAGAAGCTAAAGTGGTGCCTTTTGCTATTTACAGATGTTTGTCATTTTATTTTCTCAGTTTCCATGAAAACGATTTGGACTTAGTCTCAAAGGGTTGGGTGGGCTTCGTTTCTGGAGCACAACTCAAAAACCGTGCAATATCTTTCTACAAGACGTGACAGATATATAACAGATCTTGAATCGGTGCCTTTTGCAATTTGCTCATATTTGGTATTTATACTTTTCATTTCTTTGGGGGAAAAAATCAAGTGGGTCTTTAAAAGTAACTGTCAGATGATTTGCTCTTTCAAATAAGTTGGGGAAAGGGGGATTTGTCATCTTCTGATGACTCTTGTTCAATAGGGGTAAAACAGTATACCACAGTATTAGTAGAACCGGAGTATTTTACCTTCAGTTCGGTATACCGTAATGCAAGCCAAAAATTTGTGTTCATACTGTCATTTTGTTCACCTTTTAACCATTTTCTAGAATGTCTAGAAATTGATTCAATTTGTCAGTATCTTTGGATTTTTTGCTAGACAGCCTCTATTTCCTGTAAGTAAGTTCTCATAATATACCGAACCGAAACAGACTGAACCAAATACCTTGTACCACAATATGTACCGTACGAACTTACCGTTTCACCCCTATTTTTCAACAAAATTGTAGATATGGTCCTACTAGCTATGGTGAGAATATTGATCTCAGATGAGATCTAGGTAAATCACTTCTATTTACTGTATCATGCTGTATGGAACTCAATGCAGGTAAGAATGCATTATACCGGATACCTAGCAGGGTTAGGGTTAGGATTAGAGTTAGGGTTATTTTCATCTCAGTTATATACTTTTTCACCTTTCCGAGCTCTTATCACGTGACCTAATTAAATATGGCAGGCAGGTATCTGGTATAATGCATGTGTACCTCAATGCACCCTTCAAAATTGTACTTTCATGTACTGGTATCAGCTGCCGTTGCATCCTCATTTCTCCTGTGTATTCTTGTATTATTCTGTTTTGATCAAGCCCATGAAGAATTGGTTAGAATTGATGTACAGTTACACATGCTTGTCGTAAGAGGCAACTAACAGGATCGGGTGGTCAGGCTCGCTGACTGGGTTGACACGTCATATCCCAATTGCGCAGATCGATGCTCATGCTGTTGATCACTAGATTGTCTGGTCCAGACCTGATTATTTACAGACCACCACCATATAGCTGGAATATTGCTGAGTGACACGTAAAACTAAACACACTCATTCACTCACTCACTGTTTTGATCAACATCCTTGATCAGGTTACCACCAAAGCTTCACATGTAATGTCGTCATCGGCATCCCTTGTATCTTCAACTTAGATCTTCTCGTGACCATGACCTTGAAAACAACAACCAATCAAGAGGACTCTTCTAATTTCAAAATTGTTGCATCAGATAGTGAAATCTGATGCATTTCACTTAACCATGTCATTATCTGCAGACTGTTATAAATGTTATGTTAAAAACTACCAAAAGGATTGAGATAGGATAAGGGAAGGTCATTTGTCATCAGGTCTTTCAGATGAAATGCAGACAGACTCAACAAGACCAATCAACGTGGTCAAGTACTGCTGTTTGTTTCAGTCATGACAGTAGTGTACTTTGTATGTAAATAGAATGGAGATATAATACATGACTGAGGATGCTTTATTACTGATAGGCAAAATATTTATGATGTGAAATTAAGATAATAACAATAAAGAGTGAGTTTGGTTTTACACCGCCTTTAGCTATATTGAGATATCATGGCATTGTACCCATGTGGGGAATTGGACCCAGGTCTGCGGTGTGTCAAGCAAACGTTTTAACCACTAGGCTACCCCACAGCTCCTAATAATAAAGAAACTACATAGGTAAAAGATTTTGTATTTTTGTAATAAATATTTTTAATTAACCTGTCTGAAATATATATATATCTGCATCAGCTGTTTCTTGAAGAATGGAATTTGTAATGTTATGAATCATATGTGTTGTATTGTATCATGAATTTCTTATGGCAATTGAATTGTACTGACGTTATAACACAAGTATGTAGATATCACAAACCTAACTCGAGGCAGTGGTATGAATACAAGCAAGGGTGATGCTGTTCCCTGCTGAATGCATTGCCCAACTGAGTTAATTATTCTTTGTCCAGAAGCCCTGCCTTCCTCCACAGGGATACTGACAGCAACATGACATTACTTGGTAATCTTGGTTGTAAAAATCCACAGACACTTATGTAGATGTAGAACTAGATTGTATCACTGAGAATGTTACCTTCCATATTTACAATTCACTGTGTATATGTTATGAATGATCTTGTAATATGGTGCTAGCTCTTCTACAGGAATTCGTAGGTGGACATGATATATACATACATACATTTGTTTATCGCCCATGCATCCTTCTGCCTGGAAGGATATATATATAATATATAGAGAGATTATTACACGAGCAAGTGTGTCATACGACTTATACGAAACGAGTGCGAAATTTTATATTGCCCCAGCGAGAGCAACTGTGTGGCACACTTGCAAGTGTAATAATTTCTTTATTATCCATTTTATTCATGTGCATTTGTGCAGTAAAACACGGTAAGCAAGTGTGACTGCCCAGTTCATTGACGTCACGTTCAATTGTTTTATGACATACTGACGATGAAACTCAGAAACAATGGTTGCTAGGCAAAAGTGATAAGTGCACATATGATAATTATGACACTGGTTAGGTTTCCCCATATGAATAATAAATATATATATTTTGCCTAGCTGGGAATGTCCTTTTGCTTTACATTTCATGGAATAAACTGAGAAATAAATGTAGTTTGTTGTTTTAACATCTAGGTTAACAGTTTTTAATGGATATTCATCTGCAGTCCATGGTTACATGTCGATACATATTGGGGTACAAACATAGAAAATGTGTGGCCATTAAACAAACCAAGAAAGTAAAGTTTTAGTAGGGCTGTGTATTGGCAAATAAATTGTATTGCAATATATTGCGATTCAGGTACCCGTATTGCGATATATTGGGAACTCAACTGTTTGACAGTAAATGACCCTAACTGTATATGTCGATCCTATTTTCTACACTAGAAGTCCATAAATATATATGTTAACTAATGTTAAACCCAATTTTACCACCTTAGCCATCTGACAAAGCAAATGTGGTTTGAAGGGTTTTTTATTCAGAAATATCCATTATTAAAACAGTCTATACCTGGGAAATAAAACAGAAGATACAATGATAAATACTAAAATATTTATTGACAGTGTAAAGAAGTCACACACACCTCTCACATCATTCTTGCCCCATCTTAAATAATACTTATGACACTTATGTACAACAATCTTTTTTCGTGACATGTTTATAAAATTGAACAATATATAATTGATGAGACATTTCCAGTGCATCTGAAAGTAGTTTATGAAGAAAATAGAAAGTTCAGCAACATGTCCAGTAAAATCTCAGTAATGATATTGAAGTGTTTAGGTCTATTTGCCAGGATTATTGGCACAACGTGACAATTTCAAATAAACAAGAAATGAGTAACAGTCAACATATCAAAACTTAAACTCAAATGCAAATTCAAACAGAACAAATAAGAATCAAAACAAAACAGAATTTAAATATGTAAAGCAGTTTGAAGTTATGTTAAAATTCTGAGATTATTTACAATGAAATGAAAGGAGACTTCAGCATTCTATTGCAACATCTGTGCTTTTGTGTGAACTTTCTTCCATCTGGAGAAGTGTTTTTCGACAAAGCAGAACAGACTTTTTATCTCCAATGGTTTCATACAGGTGACTGGCCTGGGTGACCATCCCAACCCTGGCACCCACACTGCTGACTAAGGGATCAGGTAAGTGGCGTCCTGCTAACAACAGAGCAGAGGCCTGCTCTCTCTCAGATGTGTCACTGTATGAAGTCTCTTCATGATCTGAAAGACAACACACACATACTTCATGTATTGTGAAGTTAGTATATGGGAATCTTTAAAAATCTCAGTTGTTTCAGTGACTACAGAAATATTTTGCTAGATTCTTCCATACTATCAAAATCGTAAATTACAACATCAGGAATCCATTTTGGTTTAATACAATGTAAGCCCGTTAAGTAATGACGGCACAAGCTATGAAAACTCAAACCAAAGTGAGTAGGAAGTAAAATCAAATTTGAAAAACTTTGTGAACTTCTTTTAGGAGGATATCAACACACACCTACATAATTACGTACTTACACTTATCCATAGCTACACCAAATGTTGATACTTACATGTCTCAGTTCTTGTGCTTCGTCTCCGGATGCTCCGGTCAAGCAGCTGCTGAGTACGTGCAGGACTAGCCCCAGCCATCACTCGAGCCATGGCTTCATGCAGGAACACCTGGATACAAGTACATGGTCAGTAATAATCAAGCCAAAATATCAGCTGATAGAATAGCTGCTATGACATAAAGCATGCCTTAAAACAAATTGAACCTGATTACCTTACATAACATGTCTACATAATTCAAACATAATATTACCTTTGGCAAAGCAGTCTTCATGATCTGTGACAGTTTGCGGAGACTGGCCAGATCCTGCTGGAAGGCAATGAGTTCTGTCTGAGAGACAGGCTTGGTAGTGCCCTGCCAATCATGTGTCATCTCCCAAACTTGTGACCGAGTCATCAGCAACCAATCACAAGTAAGCAGCTGGATGGCCTGCAACGATAAATAAAATCCATATCAATATTTTTTTTATAAAAAAATCTGTATTCAGGACAATGACAAATTAAAGACCTCAGAATTCTTTAGCAACAAAATTTAGCCATCCAAACTCTGAATATCAAATTACAACAATACAGATCTTACTTGTTTTAAAACTCATTTTTACATTTTATTGACTGTATAAACTATAAATTATATATTTACACTGCAGGTCTCAAATTCTGACAAGACATTTATATTCAGGGATTTACGGGGAGCGCATTTGTGTGCCCAGTACACACACATGAAGAGAATGGATGCAAATAAAAAGTTCTATTATTATTATTATTATTCTTTGTACCCACATCACATCTATGACTATAAGCTTTTGGCTGTTTCTGTCATTTTCACGTGCTTCATTTCATCAATCAGTCTCTGGGATCCCCATGTTTGTGAATCGAGGTAAAAACCTGTATATTGTGGTTTCCTCCTGATGTTGAACCTGCAGCTGTGCTTGCACTGCAGATGCATTGCATAACTGTTAGCTAATGCAATGCAACTACAATGCACCACAGACACAAGAATGTTTGTATTCCTTCAGAACCAGCTCCAGCAGAATCTTCAAGTTTCAGCAAATATAAACATAAACTTTGTTGTGCACATGCAGGTCGTAGTGCTTACCTTCACAGCTTCAGCTTTCTGTTGTGAGTACACAAGTTTCAGACTCTCCCGCAGTGAACGTCCTGCACGGTCACATTGTCTGATGCACATCTTGCTGTTAAAATTCTCCCTATGTTCCAACAGGCTCTTTCTTGCTTTGTAGGCAAACATCACAGCTCTTGGCAATGGATCACTGTAATACAGCACATTTGTTAAATGTGAGTATTATTTCACAAGACAATGTCATCAGAACATGTCATAACATCAGATTTTTTTCAAAACCTGACAGTAAAGAGTTAAGTATGTTTAATGCTGTTTTGAACAGAATTTTCAATTATATCATGGCATGTAACAGCAATAGCTTACTCATTTGCCTGCAGTTTCTTAGGGAAGACATCCAGCACACTGTAGTAGTCCTTGGCATTGTCATCATCTCCCTTCAGCCAGTAATAGGCAACACTGACAATGCCAGCCCACCACAGAGAAACCTCATCTGAAAGTAGGTTTAATTCTTATTACTTTATAACTTTAGAAGTAAAAATAATTAATTATCTCAATGATATTAGTCACACTATTGTAAAAACACTCTTAAATACATCAGGTAGTCCTACTAACTTTGGGCTTCCCTGACATTTTGTCTTTCTTGTGCCATAAAGCAAACTTGTTTCCATACCTGCATTGTTCACCCCAAAGTCTCCAATGGCAGCTGAAGGATGGCCATCTTTTGTGCATGAACAATTGCACAGCAACTGTGCATACTGCATTGTCTCAGACACAGAATCATTCCTGGAATTAAAAGTTATCATTTCATTAACTCAGAACATACTTACTTTCATGGCGTTGAAAATATTTTCTTACCAAGTTTGCCTTCATAATGACATAAAAAGTGAATTTTTGATAGAATCAATGTTCACTTCATCAATCACTAAATTTGTGTCTGGTCCAGGTTCCATATCTACAAGCAAACATCATATAGCTGGAACATTGCTCAGTGTAGCATCCAACTTGTAAGTATAAAGTAGTACACTAACGTCTCTATTCTCACCTGTTTGGGTGTTCAGGAGCAACTAAGGAATACAAGGCCCGCGACAACAGGTTCTCTCGGAAGGCTTGTGTAACCTTAGCTAGTGGGTCCACTGAAAATAACAAGTGTGACATTTAAACATTGGGAAGGCACTGCCTTTAGAGTGAGTGAGTGTGGTTTTACGCCACTTTTGGCAATATTCAAGCAACATCACAGCTGGAGACACCAAAAATGGGCTTCACACATTGTAGCCACGGGACGGCACCGTCCCTCACCTTTAGAAAAATGTAATTTTTTGAGTAAAATTGATATTTTATACTTATCCTGACTCATGCTCCTTTTTATAAAATATCAATTTTACTCAAAAATTACATATTTTCCTTATCCTGACTCATGCTCTTTTTGCTTGTAGCATCCTACGGAACGGAGGTGGGAATACTAATACTTTGGATTTTTAATAATTAGTGATTTGAACTGTGATGATTGTAATAACCCTATGGGAACTTCATAAAGGCACTGAACTGATGAATTCCTGCTGCTAACTTATCAGCTGCCATATAAAAGGTTATTACCATGTACTTATTATGATAAAGTATATATAACATTAATACAATGCTTAAGACTAATAGACTTAAGCTTGTTAATATGCTAGTATAAACTCCTTAGAGTTTGTTAGCTAAAATACTTTAAGATATAACATAGTACTAAGCTTAAGATATGATTAAACTTAAGCTAATTATATAATAGCAAACTCTTTAGAGTTTGTTAGTTAATATACTTATATGATATAGATATAATGCTGAGCTTAAGATATGAATAAGCTTTAGCTATATATATAATAGCAAAAACTCTGTAGAGTTTGTTAGCTAATATATTTTATAATATGAGTATAGTACTGTGCTTAAGCTATAATTAACTTAAGCTACATATATAATAGCCAAACTCTGTAGAGTTTGTTAGCTAATATATTTTTATAATATGAGTATAGTACTGTGCTTAAGCTATAATTAACTTAAGCTACATATATAATAGCCAAACTCTGTAGAGTTTGTTAGCTAATATATATTATAATATTAGTATAGTACTGAGCTTAAGATATAATTAACTTAAGCTACATATATATAGCAAAACTCTGTAGGGTTTTGTTAGCTAATATATTTTTACAATATGAGTATAGTAGTGTGCTTAAGATATAATTAACTTAAGCTACATATATAATAGCAAAACTCCGTAGAGTTTGTTAGCTAATATATTTTACAATATGAGTATAGTAGTGTGCTTAAGATATAATGAACTTAAGCTATTTGTATAATAGCGAAAACAACCCTTTAGAGTTTGTTAGCTATGATATAAACCTAGTATTGAGCTTATGAAGGAAAACTTAAGCTACATATATAATAGCAAGAACTCCGTAGAGTTTGTTAGCTAATATATGTTATAATGTAACCATAAAGCTTAAAATATGATGAAACTTAGGCGAAATATATAATAGCAAAACCCTCTTTTAGAGTTTTGATAGCTAATATACCTATATGATATAAACATAGTACTGCGCTTTAAGATATGAATAAGCTTAAGTTACATATATAATAGCTAAAACTCTGTAGAGTTTGTTAGCTAATACATGTTATAATATAACCATATTGCTTAGAAATATGATGATACTTAAGCCAAATAGCAAAAACTCTTTAGAGTTTGTTAGCTAATCTACTTATATGATATAAACATAGTACTAAGCTTAAGATATGAATAAGCTTAAGCTACCTATATAATAGCAAAACTCCTTAGAGTTTGTTAGCCAATATATTTTAATAATATGAGTATAGTACTATGCTTAAGGTATAATTAGCTTGGGTTACCTATATAATAGTAAAACTCAGAGAGTTTGTTAGCTTAATTAACTTAAGCTATGTATAAAATAGCCAAAAACTCTGTAGAGTTTGTTAGCTAATGCATTTATCATGTAACCATAGTATTACTCTTAAGATATGAATAACTTAAGGTAAATATATATAATAACAAACTCTGTAGAGTTGTTAACTTATATATTGTATGATGTAATAATCATAGTACTGTGATGATAAAAGGAACTTAAGTAAATTATATATAGCATGAAGCTATTTAGTATTGTTATAAGATAAGTAAAAATCTGTTAGATTGACTTATCTTCTCCGAGGAACTGTCAGCTGTTGTGCGAGGACCATGGGATCAATTGGTGTATACCTGAGACGCCTCGTGGTGATATCTCTCAGATAATGGTTTGCAACCACCATATCGGATTTTCAGAAATAAACCTCCATTATTTCAATCACATTTGTGTAGAACAATTCTAGAAGTTAAGTAGCTATAATATCATGAGTATTAAGCTCATGGAGGGTCGGAATAGGTCCATCCCGCATATGCACGTAGTAGTATGACAGTTCTGATCCAAATGGAGATATAGTACATGAGACTTCACTCTGCGTAAGTTGATGATAGAGGAAATAATCTGTTGCATTTTTCCTCCTGTTTGGTTTGGTGGAGATAAATTTACAGTGCTCTTGCTGGCCATCTTGATAGAATCATCGTATCATGGGGTCCAAGTATGTCATCCAGGCGTGTTCATAAACCTCACTTGTGAGGTGTTGGAGCACCATATTCATATCCCCAGGTTGAAGCGGAAATTTCCGCTTTATTCTCCAAACAGAAGTTTAGTAGGTTTACTAACCATCTAGTTGTGTTAGTCGCTTGATGAAATTCAGCTGTAGTCTGAAACGCTTGTGGATTTAGATCCACTTGTATCTTCGCTCAGGTAATTCGCTGCTAAGTCCTTTGACGATGTAGGTGCACAACCAGGTGTGTCTGTCCTCGCTGAACTTTATGTAAAATCGCCTCGACTGCCCGATCCTCGCCTTAACTTGACAGGGAGGTCTCTAACTTGAAGAAAGGCAGTCTAATCATGAATGTTCAGGTTAACTGGACTGTAAATGAGGCTTGCTCGTTCACTGATATGTAGTTGTCACTTCAGACGTAAGTCTTGAACTGTGAACAGAGATCGACCTCTGTGTAGGTCGTTGTCCCTCGCGGGTCCAATCAGAACAAGGCATTTTGATTCTGTATAAATACCCGGCTGTGATGTCACCGTGTAGCGGGAAAAAACCCACCTTGAATAAATTCTTGTCGCCGTTGATATTAGCATAAACGCCGGTCTTCACCGTAGCTTCCGGTTATCCGAGTGACCACGTGTTTCGAGGGTTAATGGTAACCGCTGAAACCTCCGCCGAAATATCTCGCTCTGTAATTTTATGCTGGGTAGGTTATTTTCCTGGTTGTCGGAAAATAATTTCAGTTTTGAATATAATTCGACTTCCTTATATATAAGGGTATAAACAACTTGTAAGTTGTGAGCTTGTAGACTGTATACATGAATGTATCGCCATAATTGTAGAATTAACGTTGAACTTGTTGTACATATTTCTTCTCAGAAACTTTGACGATTAAGAGTTATACTGCCGCTGTAACAAGGCTGCTGTTCAATTTCGATATTGAATTGTCTGCAGATATGCGTAATGGTCACGCATGTAGATAATCGTATCGCCGTCCGGGATTGTATATTAGCAATTTATAACGAATAGTTGATTTCGTGAAGATCTATGAAATGTCGTTGACTAATAATACAGCTGACGTTCTGTGTTGTAAATAGCCTAAGCAATTATCTTCGCAGTAGGCTTATAGATCGGCATCTGGCATACAGTTGATAATCAACTTATATGCGACGCCTTGAACGGACTGACGAAGTAGCTATATATGACGAAAGTGGCTAGTATATGGAAACCTTGGAGGAGACTTCCTCGGTGAACGCCGGAGACTTCGCGAAGTTCTCGAAGTATCCCTTCTAGATCTTCTGGGTGAAGTAGACTTGACACTTAGCCTTCGCGACCATCGCGAAGGTGTCGAGAGTCAAAGCCCGATTAGTATATATATATATATATATATATAAATATATATATGAGCGCTTTGCTTCGTGAACAGCCTCTGTGTTTAACAGGATGTGGGATCACGGCTGCTTGCCTAAGTAGGGCCGCGCATGGATCATCTTATCATATCTGTAAGTCGTGTATACTAAGTCTGGTGATAAGTGTCTAATTGATCGCTCTAGATCTATTTAGGCCAGCTTAACATACCGCCTCGCCATGGATTCAACAGAACCAATATAATGATTGTAGTTCTTATACTTGATATCGATGATCAACTTGTCTATGGGTTGATCTTCTCGAGACTTGTGAGGGAACGTTGATAGTTTTCACAAGCTCTTGTATAGTCCCTCGATGTCCTTCTAGATGATGATGATCTGGATTCAGGTGTCCTTTTCGCTGAAGATGCCTTCGCCGAAGCTTCCTCTGCGTCCGGTCCGGGGAACGACGATATGACCTTCGCTAAGGCTTCCGTGATGTCTGATGGTCCGAGTCCACATCTAGGGATGAAACCGCGATAAGGTGATGATCTATCCTGCCTTCGCAAGCAGTCCTTCGCTGAGGCTGTACATCTAGGTTCTTTCCGCTTCGCGAAGGCTGTACATCTAGGTCCTTTCCTTCGCTGGAAGGCCTTCGCGAAAGGCTGTACATCTAGGTCCTGGCCAAGGTGGTCCGTGACTTCCTTCGCGAAGGTGACATCGCCCTGGCTGCTACGCTGACGGGGTGCCTCTGGGGTGTTGTCTACGTTGGAGCCTTCGCTGGCGTTCGACCCTGCTACACGCGAGATATTGGTCCTCCATGATGTTCATAATTTGTCGATCATGTCTTCTGGGATGGTCTGCGACGCAGGTCGCCGGTGCTTTATCTGCGGTGTTAATGGAGGGGTCCACCGGAAAATCGTCCGACATCAGTGTAGAGGCATCAGGCTGCATGGTGATCTCTGCTGATGTCGCTGTAGCTGTCACCGGTCGCTTCTTGTGGCGAGACGCCGGGATGATGATCAGCTGATCATCGTAGAGGTCCAGGTCATCGGTTGGAACAATCTCGCTGAGAAAGTCCTAGTAGACTTCGCTGATTTTCCCTCAGAGGTCGACGCTGCCCTGGGTGCGACGCCTGGCGCTGAGTGTTGGTAATGATGGGACCCTCAGGACGCATCATCGATATCTGGCGTTGGTACATCAGGCTGCATGCTGATCTGTGCCGACATCGGTCAATCTTTGATGTACAACCGTATGATGACCGGCTGATCATCATACAGGCCCAAAACTTCGGATGGGAACGGTCTCGCTGTTGAGATGTAGTAGAAAACCTCTAGTCTTCTGCTGCGACGATGGGATGTCTGGGGAAGCAGGATGCTTCTTGGAGATGGCGGACTACGCCCCACACCTCTCCACCACTCTAGCGGAACACCACACGGAGGGGAGTCGGCCAACAGCAGTAGACTGGCGAGGGGTTCCGTATCAGTCATACTAGACTCTGCATACGCTGACCTATCTGCTGTGCGTACAAACGCAGTAAATATTAATAAAAAGGTAGAATTGATAAATTAGTACCGCAACTGCAGTGTGAATATAATAAAATGGCTCTGCATTACATCATATTAAAGGCGGATCAGCAGCAGCATAAAAACGAATCTGCAATAGTACAGAATTTTCATCAACGTAATCCACTGAAACAAACACGGCGCCCCGTGAATAAACTGTAGAAAACGACTAAATATCAATATATAATCGCTGAAGGATACTAGCTAAACCTCTATAGATGTCTATAACGAGGTAACTAACTAAATATAAATCAAAGGATATAGTGTGTCGGAGACACAGGCGCCTCACGCCCAGCTCACTGGGCTTAAGAAGGAGAGAGAGTGAGGCACATGGGTAGAGGTGGCTCCCTCGTTCCCCGGCTTGTGGAAAGGAGGTAACTCGTGGTGAATACTAATTAGTGATTTTAAATTGAAGGGAGCTTCAATTAGGGAGATACAAGTGTTCCACTATGTTCGCAAGAAGAAGAAGACAAGCAAAAAGAGCATGAGTCAGGATAAGGAAAAATCTTGCAAATTAACATTTAAATTAATTACCTTGGCTGTCAAGAGCAGAGAGAAATGTGTCCTTTGATTCAACTTTCAGTTTGGAGTCCACAAAGAAACGGTGTCCCTCGGGTTGAGCCAACCACTGAACATGAGGTCCAACTCTATCTCCATACTTCAAGCACACTCTCCTGGCCCGACTGAGGAAGTAGCGCTGTAATTCAGAGAAGAAACATCATTCACAAGGAACAAAATGTTGTCAACCCCAAGGCCATAGGCTTCAAGTGAGGCAACTGAGCGAAATATGGTGAATGAGACAACTTGGTTCCTTTCACTCAGCGAAAGAATCAAATAATGATAAATAAAATACACCCAAAGAAATTAATTCTACCCCATGACGGCCTTTACTTCTCATACTGATTTAACTAGCAGATAGACTATCAGGACTCCTCAATTCTATTAATCAATATCAAGATGGGTCATCAATTGCAATACTACGGATAAAGAATAGAAGACTACATCATGCTTACACTTGAAAAGAGAACATTAACATAAACTTGCTACAACACTCACAGCAAGAAAATGCAGTTTCTCTGGGAGGGAAGTCTTGACTTGTAGAGCAGCCGTGGCATATATCTCCACCAGATTAGTCCGTGACATAGCTTCTCGGGCAGCTTCTGCTGTGTTGACTGCACTCAGAGCCAGGTTCAAACCCCAGAGAGATCCACCACTCAACTCACCTGAAGAGCAAATATTTCATCAACAAACTGTCAAGCACATTAAGCACATTATATAGTCTTTTGGCATCTCTTATAGCACATAGTTTTATTGGACACATATCTAGTTATTTGTACAGTTTACCAACAAATACCAATAATCAAAATTATGGCCCTACATTACGCATGGTACAAGATACAGAGAAGAGTTGTTCTATGTATGACATGAAAAGGCAGTGTTTTATCACGTTACACTTTCAAGCTGCATTGTTAACACAGTTAAAGAACAAACCTGACAGATGAAGCTGGTTCAGATTGTGGAAGACAATAGCAGCATCCCGAGCAGATTCCTTCACATCACTGCTCTTGATGTTGTTCCTCCAACCTGCTGCTTTGCTGGACAACCATCGACCTAGGTAAACACGGTGAAGTCCCTGGCGTACCAACTGCCAAGCAACACCAGAAAGCATGTCCAACTTGGAAGTAGGAAGGGGACGACCGAGAGCTTGTAGACATTGTCGCAACTGGTTAGATGCAGCCGAAAAGCTTCCCTGGAAGATGAGGTAAATCAATAAGTGAGTGAGTTTGGTTTTACGCTGCTTCTAGCAATATTCCAGCAATATCACGGCACGGGACACCCGAAATGGGCGAACCCGGGTCTTCGGCATGATGAACGAATGCTTTAATCACGAGGCTACCCCACCACCCCGTAAGTCAGTAAAGAAGACTTACCAAAACTGCTTAAAATTCCACAGACAATTTAAATCTGGAAGGACTACTTGTTTTAGATAAAAATCTAGTCATATTATTTCTAAACAATCCACCAGTCAAAATTGGTAATTGAGAACAAGTTCTTTTCATCAGACTGACTGACTGAGTTTAGTTTTACGCCGCTTTTAGCAATATTCCAGCAATATCACGGCGGAGGACACCAGAAATGGGCTTAACACATTGTGCCCATGTGGGGAATCGAACCCAGGTCTTCGGCGTGACAAGCCAAAGCTTTAACCACTAGGCTACCCCAACGCCCCCTTTTCATCAGAGGAATAATTACTTATTGCACAACATACTTTCATGAAAATTTCCCCGTTGACTTAGCCATCACTATCACCATTGAAATGAATAACCAAAGCTCTTACTTACCCTCATGATGTCAGTATCAGCTTGTTTCCGATGGCGCCAGAATGACACTGATGCATTTGAGTTCTTGCAAGTGACAGGTTCACCGTAGATCAATAACTTCGCAAGTACACCAGCAACAATAACACCATTCATCAGCCACAGGAAGAGTGTCGGAAACATCCAGTTAAACCAGCCTTGGTAACCACCTGCAATACATTAAATTCAGGCATGTGAAAATATATCAGTTAAAAAGTACCTCTCCACATGCTTAACCATCCTCGATAATCTCCAGGGTATGTGTTACGATAATTCTCCTTTATACCCTAGACGCATTTACGGCTTGGCCCGATGATTATATTACCTCCCTTGGCTGGCTCCCCATTCTCACAGTAGCCAATCAGCTAAGACGCCGTTACAACCGAGCTTGCCAGTGTCAACAAAGATAGTGGTCGCTGCCGCGAAGGTTTATTCGCAGTGCGACTCAGATTTGGGGGGAAATCATAGACAAATTTACAGGTCTGAAACTTTAAAAAAACATATGCAAAAACTTCTTCAACCTCTTTCAGAGTACCTCTGCATCAATTGTGTTGCCAAGTTTAATCGGTTAGATAATTCAAGAAGCAAAAGTGAGTTGTGATCGGTCCGCTCAACTTCCCAGCGTAGACACCTGATTGGATAAAATGCCAGCCAAGGGAGGTAATAAAATTATCCGGCGGAACTGTAGATGTGTCCAGGGTATAGTGGAGAGTTATCGTAACATATACTCTGGAGATTATCGAGGATGATGCTTAACATGTTCTATGGAAAAAAGACATTGTTTGCTAAAGCGGGTCTTGCAAAAAAATACCATCTATGCATCAGATTATTCTACAGTACAGATGGAAATAACTAAAAAGGAGAATCAGCAACAAAACTTAAAATAAGGACACCAATGTTAAAATTAAGTCACATATGAAAACATTTATTCGCCGTTTAAGAGGACTGAAAATCTGTTTATAAAGGGCATATATACTTTCAATGTACCTACTTAATACTCTAGTTAGCAACACAAACTTCTGGGTGAAAAGCTACATCTTATGATAAACTTAATTTTGAAAACTCACTGGTGGCTTCTTGTGAGAAGTTTCCAAGCGAATTGAGATGTCTACTAGCTCCATGTCCAAGCCCGACTTGTGCCTCCATACCGACTTTACTGCTACCACCAAGTATTGAATTGAATGGGTTGAATGCCAGAATACCAAGCATGAACACACACAGGACCATACGAGATCGATCCAGCATACCACTTGTGATATCAAACTGACTATCCTCTTCATCACCAGAATCATCTGCAAAATAAAAGAAAAACCATCAAATATTGACCCTACAGAAAAGCACCATTCAAGTCTGTCCTATCATGTCTTAAGTCAAGTGATAATACCAACAATCAAAGAATAGGGATTCTGGCATCAATCACAAAAACATGACCATACATATTATCGTTTCATGATAATCATATTCACACTGAATTTCAAATCCCTTACCCATCATACTGTCATTGGAGAGAGGACTATCAGGCTCTGAGTTGTCAGACACTGGAGGTGTCATTGGGAATGCACCTGCTTCCTTTTTACATGTCAGTAACTCCTCCAGATCTGAAACAACAAAAATATAGGTAATCATGGTAATAGGACCTAGTCAAAGGGGTGGAAATAACCCATTGCCCGACGTCCGAGTCCAGTGTTTTTTTCTGTCGGGCAAGCAAATTTGTATATTACACTGTACCGGTGTCCAGTTGACTTTCCAATGTTTATTATATTGTTTATTTAAAAAATCAACAAGAAAACGGCCAGTATAGTGGAAAAATTATCAGGGCAAGTGATGTTACATGTGCCACTGTACCGGTGTACACTAGCAATTTTAAAGTTATTTCCACCCCTGAGTCAGTTAAGAATAACCTTCCAAAATGAACCCATGCAACTTTAGTTGGTAATATTCAGTGAACTCCTTACTTTGCTTGCTGGTTGCCATCCTGAGAGCCATATTCTCCTGTTTCAGGCGGTTGTTGCTGTTTTGCAGATATCTGATGTAATCGATCGCTTTCCGTAAAATTGCAGATTTGTTCAGCTGAAGCAAAGAAACCATACAAACAATTGAAAATCTGAGGTCAAAGTAATATTACAACAGACATTTCACATTGATGCATCATGTAATCAGACAACACTGCCAAGTTGGCATCTAGTGGTCATTAATAGGAACAGAACTTTTCAGAACTTGGAATTCAAGGAACTACCTTGAATTCCAAGTTCTGAAGATGCATTTCAGTTCTTCATCAGATATTAGTTCTTGGAATAAGTAAGTCATAAATGCAATTTGGACTGCAAATTACAATACTTGAAAATCAAGTACTGACTTCAAGTTTAACCATTTCTTATACAAAGTCTTTGATCTTCTACTACTTACTAACCATGCCAAGATGATCCAGGAAAGAAAATATCACAAGATCCCAACCCTCGCTTTACTTGTTTTAGAATGAATAATGGAATCATTTAACAAAATATTTTCAAGACTCCCATACATAGAAAAAGACTCCCAAAAACATTTTTACTTTGAGTTATCGGACTCGTTTTAACATCTATGTAAATCCTGCAGAGATGTCGTGAGACACACGGATCACAGCAATGTTCACCAGAGTACAAGGAAATTCTGCATCTCAATTTGCCTTACCTTTGCTTCTGTTCCTGCTACAAGATCTTTTAACTCCACAATCTTGTCATTGATACTGAGCCTGTAACGTTTCTCAATGGCATTGTGTGCTGTGCGTTTTTCCCCTTTGTGTGCTTTTTTGGGCATGGTATTGAGTCTGTTGATGGGTACCTTGTCACCATCTACAACTTGGATAGGAATACTCGTGAGTATGGTGTTGCCCCCAGCAACAATTGTCTGCACCGGTGATGATGTCACACTGCTAACAGTAGTGTTCGCATTATTGACTGTAGTGACTGGAGAAGAAATTGACACAACAGTTGGTGTTGGTTCACTCACAGTGGTGGTCTTCAAAACTTGGGACTGAAGCAGCAACTAAAACAGAAAAGGCCGACGTGAACAACTTTGGAAAAGACACAAATATTTCATATGAGTGAGGTGAAATAATATAAGTAATACTTTCATTATTACCATGGTTAACAACATTACTGAACAACAACTATAGTCTGTTTGCAGTGAAAACGTACCGATGAAATTCAATTTAAACCAAAAAGTAAATCACATAAAGTGAAATTAAGATTGTGAATCCTCATGATTTTACCTTGCCATCATAGTTTCAAATCGCTATTATTGGTTTGTAATACAAGGGGGTACGCGCAGTAGTTGGAATAGTGAAACAAATGCATGCGTGGTCCGTGATGAGCGTTAACATAGACTACCGTAGAAACCATCCATTCTTGTTCTCGGTGTTTCATTTAATCAGCATACCCACTTGTAATATTACAAACCAGGAAATATGTTTCTTACTAAACTTGCAATTAGCTTACATGTATGCTGACCTTTTGAAAATATGTTCGATTTTTTGTACATCAAAAATGATATCGAACCAAATCAAAATGTTCTGCATTAATATAATTACATATGGTTTTAAGCAAAAACAAAGTTGTCTCAGAGACTCCAATCTTGTTTGATATGTTTGAGAACAAATATCTTAAAAGTAAGTTGATTTTGTGCTTTCATTGGTTCAATGTCGTTCAACACAAAGACTGACATATGAAGGAGGGGGCATATCAAACCTGTTGTAGTTGCTGCAAACTAAGCTGACTGACATTTGTTGTCGTCTGCTGTACTGGTGTGGGTGCAGGTGCCGGTGTCGGAGCTGGGGCTGCAGCCGGTGCTGCAGACTGCAAAGACACTGCTTGTTGTATTAACTGTTGCACCTGGGTACGAGGCTGAGCCTGGGTTGTCGTCGTCGTAACCAAAGGCTGTTGCAAAATCAGTTTCAGCTGCTGCTGAGGAGAGCGCTGTTGCACCTGTGGCTGAGTTTGTATTTGCACCTGTGGCTGAGTTTGTATTTGCACTTGTGGCTGTATCTGTACAGTCTGTGCCTGCAGTTGCTGAAGTTGTTGTTGCTGCTGCTGCTGCTGTTGTTGCTGCTGCTGTGCGCTGCTGCTGTGCAAGTCTCTGAACTTTTTGCACGGCCTGCATGCGAGCAGCAACCTGCTGCAGTTGACTGCCAAATGATGTGTTGTCAATGTTAATCTCAAGCAATGTTTTGAGTGCATTTTGATTCAACAATTCACTAATTGATTCAAGCTGGGTTTCAGTTTTAACAGCTTGTACAGGCTGTACCAATTCTATTGTTGGTATTGTTGGTGTTGTTGGTGCTGCTGTTGAGGTTGCTTCTACATACACTGGCTGCGGTTCAGCTGTCAATGTATCCGGCTCCTGTTTCACCAAAGGCAGGTCAAAGAGGTCACCAGTTGGATTATCCCCATTGATATATTTCAGAATATCTGAAATGTGAGCAATCAAGATTTCCAAATATGTTCACTAAAAGTAAGTCTGATGCATTTCTACAGTAAAGCTAACAAAGATGGAAACATTCATACATGTTTTGAGAAGGTTCCCCAGCGGCATAATAGTATTGTGGTAATAATATGAGTGGGAGGGGTTACCCACCTTTGTAAAATATAGTATACCAAGCATCGCCATGGATAGTATCTTTGGGGAAAGAGCTGTACGCTATTTTTCCCATGAATAGGTAGTATGAACTTGTTACATAATCCAAATGATGAAATACGTCTATCATATTTCTCTTTGGAAATCGGGCGATTAAGTAGTTTTCCTGATTCTCGGGACAATATTCGCCCTAGACGTGTATATGAGCCTTACTCGCAAGTGTCTTCCGAAGGCGGACTAGAAATAATGGTGGACAGACAGAAATACTTCATTAATAGAATTCGAAATCAGTAGTAAATCAAACCCCTCCTTTTTGTCAACAGACATTCTGGCGATATAAAAGAAAAAACACTTCCAATTTATTTTCCTTTTCCCCTTGAACATACAGGTTGGAGGGTTGGGGTTGTTTGAGCCAGTGCCGAAAGCCCGGTGTTTCTAACGCTTCACTCTATACATGACAGGCGTGTGGGAGGATAAAATATAGCTTCATAATTAATTGTAATGAGAGTTTCTGTAGCAGACCATCAACGTGTGTCGTTGACATATGCCAATTGCAACCATACATACAAATACCAAGCTACGCTAACCACTCTCTCGTAGTAAAATTTCAGGGATTTCGCCGCGTTCAGGCGTGATGGTACATGTTTGGTATCTTTGGAATGAAATACGGCAGAAAGTTCAAATTTGGTCAAAATATACTTTACCATCAACGCTACCAAGTCCGCCACTTTCAAGATCATTTGTTGCCAATAAGTCTGGTCCTAGATCAGGCAAATTATCCAGACCGATCGGCCAGTTCAGGTTGTCGGCCATTTTGTTGTGACTGAATCTCACCACGAGACTTTAGCCAATCGACAGCGAGCAGCCGATCGGGTGATTTTACGTCATCACCCACTTTCAATCATTATGCTGATGACCCGACGTATTCACATTAGGTAGGTCACGCTATATATAGATTTTCCCTCGCATGTTGGGAACGCTGGCCGGTCACACCTCATGCGTAAAGAGTCAAAACAGTTACAGCATCACAACGCGCCACACTGAGGTCACTTGCTGATTGTTTACCGTCTTTGCTTGTGTCACGTGACGTTATCCATACATAAATTACTCGTGCAGGTGCCCGTTTCACTACCTCGTAGCTGCCCGTATTTTTCCATTTCAAACTTACGATGAGCATTAATGGATGTTAAGTAAACTTTATAGATAAGAAATAAATGAAATTTAGATCTAGGTTGTTGATATGTCTTTCTCACAAAATATTTACCCATAAATTGATTTTGAATACGCCGAAACGATCGCGGCTGTATATGTCGTAGTACAAAGATTTGCCTTGACATACATTTGTTCGTGATACTATGTGTTAGAACAAGGATTTCAAAATGAAACTGTTTACACCCTCACTAATAAATAGCTGTGTGTGTGTGTGTGTGGACAGAGACGGAAGGTGCACTCGCGCGCTTTACCAACATTATTTATACAAGTCCGTTTTACAGTACATAGAACCGTTAAAACTACACAATACATCACCCCAAATCCCCTTTTTCATTAATATCTTAAATATTATTCATATGGAATAATATTTATAGTCTCTCCTTAAAGCAATGGCTCCTAAATGCAAATTGAGAAAACTAAAGACCACCAAAGCTTAAAATGGCCATTCTTCCAACTCCCTGACTTTACCCACCACTATACCAAGTAAAACAAAAGTGTAAAGTCGACAAAAGCCTGTTTTGTCATGACCCACCAATAATGATGATGTTTATAGTCACAGCTGAAAATCATTGCACACAATCATGTGCCACTTGTTATCAATTACTTGCTGCTATATTGGCTGGATGGTTTGTTGTTTAACGCCGCACTCAGCAATATTCCAGCTATATGGCGGCGGTCTGTTAATAATCGAGTCTGGACCAGACAATCCAGTGATCAGCAGCATGAGCATCGATCTACGCAGTTGGGATACGATGACATGTGTCACCTAATTTAGCGAGCCTGACCACCCGATCCCTTACGACAATCACTGCTACTGTTGGTAATTGTAATCTGCTGAATGTCGTAGCTTACTGTGTGTATATACTTCTCACTTCTTGGTTGTATCACTTTTAGCTTGATGAAGGTGTAAGAATCTACACCGAAACGTTGCTCTGTGCAATAAACAAGAAGATGTTATGCACAAAGTCGTATATGTAGTAGGTTATCTCCAAATTGACAGACACCCATATCTAAAGAGTGTAATCTTCTAAAGAGTGTAACAGCTTATGTCTTTGAATAGTATACAATGGACATTCAAGGAAGTAATGGAAAACATTCTCACATCCATGGCCACATTGACATGATGCGTCATTTTTTAAATTTATTCTAAATATATGATAATTAAGTGTGCTCATCATATATCTTAATCTTGTGTGCAAAACATTTAACCCCTTTATTCCATATGAATAATATTAAGGTGCACATTTTTCTTTCACGTAGATATAAAATTTAAATGATGCAACAGAGTCGCAATTTCTAATAGCTTAGGGAATATTATTCCACATTTTAACTGCTGATGGAATAAAAGATGATGTTGAGTACCTCAGTCTTGTACATGGTTCGCTAAAATTATTGGAGTTTCTTAAGTCATATAGTTTTGTCCGGTTGCTTACTACAGGTGTGAGTAAATCCTGAAGAAAAATTGGTGTTGTTCTATTTAGTAGGAACTTTCATTTCTGAAATGCTCCAATCATTTTCGATATCTTTTGACAATGTTTTCAGTATGATGCCGTTAAACGAGAAGGTTTAATGCCGCGTTTAGCAATATTCCAGCAATACAACAGCGGGGAACACCAGAAATGGGCTTCACACATTGTACTCATGTGGGGAATCGAAGCCGGGTATACAGCGTGACGAGCGGACGCTTTAACCATTAGGCTACCCGACCGCCCCTAAAGGTAACTTAATGGATGGTGTGGTCAGGCCTGTTGGTGACTGGGTCGATTGTATGGCATCGTACCCTGACAGGGTTGGTTGGTTTGTTGTTCAACGCCGCACTCAGCAATATTCCAGCTATATGGCGGTGGTTGTAAATAATCGAATCTGCACTAGACAATCCAGTGATCAACAGCATCAGCATCGATCTAAGCAATTCGGATACGACGTTGGTGTATGCGTGTGGTGCATGGATGAGAAGTGAGTGAGTGAATTGAGTTTTACGCCGCACTCAGCAATATTCCAGCTATATGGCGGCGGTCTGTAAATAATCGAGTCTGGACCAGACAATCCAGTGATCAACAGCATGAGCATCGATCTGCGCAATTGGGAACCGATGACATGTGTCAACCAAGTCAGCGAGCCTGACCACCCGATCTTGTTGATCGCCTCTTACGACAAGCATTGGTTACTGAAGATCAAATCTAACCCGGATCTTCACGGGTTCCCTGATAAGGAGGCACACTTGTAGAGACCTTAAACCTACAGTGGAATCAAGTGTGTTAAAATTCATAAGTGGGCGGAAGTTTTCGTGACTTGGTGACACCTGTTTCGAATACACTGCACTGGGCACAATACACGTATGTATGAAAAAAGAGCATACATCAATTCAGGAAATTGAAAAATGATTTACAAGTTTGGTAATGGAATAATTTATGAGTTATGAAAGTAGCATAAGCCGCATTGCTCAGGTTTCGTGGAAAGTATACTCATGCCAATAATGGTTGTCACCCCCTCCCCACCCAGGGACTGTGAGACAGATTGGTCAGGTGGCCTTGTGGTTAAAGTGTTCGTTCGTTCATCACGCCGAATGCCCGGTTCGATTCCCTATGTGTACAATGTGTGAACACCATTTTTGGTGTAATTTCATAATATTACTGGAATATCAATAAAAGCGGCGTAAAACGCAACTGACTCACTAACAAGCGACTTCCCCTCCCCACCCCAATCCCACACACACCTCACACCCCCACCCCACACCCCTCTCCAATTAAAGGAATTGAAGGGGGTGACAACCATTATTGGCATGAGTATATTATAACACACCAGAAGAAGAGCGGGATGTTTTTAGTTTAGTCATTCATCATGTTGTCAGTGTTATTCACAAGCTTTAGGACACACTTGTTTTATTACTTGGTTTACAGATCCACAGACCGCAACTTTTGCTAAAGTGGGAAAAAAAATCAAATTTTCCATTTTTGAAATACCGCCGTTAAATAAAATCCAAATAAATGATTTTAAAATCCGCTTTATTGAAATCGACTTTCTCTTACGAATTTGGCATCGTTGCAAAACAAAATTTCAAATATTGAAACAAATAAAATCGTCGAATTGACGTTACTAAGTGAAAATGCTGAAACAAAACGATAGGTAAAGGGAGGTTACTCTTTCTTTTGACTGCCATCAAGAAAAAATCGGAAACAGACTTTTTTTTCTTACCACCTACCGACAGGAATATTGCTGTAAAGAATCCGTAAACAAAGTAATAAAAAAGTGTGGCCTTATGGTTAATATTTTGTGGTATAATGGGGTATACGACATACTGTTTATGAATTTATGCACATGTTTAAAGGGCTGGGATATCACGACTGGTTAAATTTAACTCGGCACACATACATTAACTATAAGTGTTTAAAATCAGAGGAATTTATAACTATTTAGAAACATCACATGTCGCCTCCATAAACAGTAGCCACTAACCCGTTCTGATACAGATGTGGCCATTTTAAAGACAGAGTTATTGTACCATGGGCATACAGTTTTAAAGCTACTTTCTCCTAGTTGTTGGGTAAAGGTTAGCAAAGCTCGAGATCTCGGGAGCAGTCGTCACAGGTCTGTCTGACCAGTGTCCTAGACAGACGCTTAGTCTCTGAATAAATATAATTTTGATAGAAACAAATACATGTAGTTCCTTTTAAAATGAAAACGAGACCAGTAATATGGGAGATTCAGAACCTGAGGAAATCTAGACTTGCTTCATTTAGAGCTTTAGTATTGCAGGGAGGGCTGGTCGGAATGGGAAATAATGACGTTCAGGGACTGTGAGACAGATTGGTCAGGTGGCCTTGTGGTTAAAGTGTTCGTTCGTGACGCAGAATGCCCGGCTCGATTCCCTGTGTGTACAATGTGTGAACCCCATTTTTGGTGTAATTTCATAATATTACTGGAATGTCAATAAAAGCGGCGTAAAACTCAACTGACTCACTAACAAGCGACTTCTTATATATATGGATTTTTTGGCGTTTTAGTGGCAAATTAAATTTCCTTCAAATAATGGAAGGGTTCGTATCCTCCACATTACCCATAGACTGTTAATATTTCTTCATAAAACTGTGAGTAGGAAACATCCGAGTTAGAACTGGTCGTCACAAAACCATAAAAGGGACAGTTAATGATTAAGATATAAAAACATATAAAAAACAACCGTGGCTCTATGGAAGCAAAACATTGGCCTGTGTTACAGGATTGTGAGTTAGGATCTTGAGCAGACGCAATTACCTCCCTTTGTGTATGTTCTGACAAGGGTGTTTTGTGTGATTTTAAGTTAAACCATTGAGTAAACTGTTTACTAGGTTATCAGGCATTGTCTGTCCAAGCCGATATTTACTTGTACACAATTAGGGACCGTTCATGTAATATATGGGTTGGGGAGGTGGGGTATAATGATTTTAAGTGGGGTGGGTGGTCATCAATTTTGTACACATGTTCTAGGGCGTGGTCATTGATTTTGGACATGCTTCTCCGTAAAACTTACCATCACCCCCAAGCCATAAATCATGAACGTACACATAGCCGACCTCAGTTGACTGTGCCAGGGAGACTATATTATCCCGGTGTCAGGGGTTTTCGACGATGTAAGACAAAAACGTATTTTTTATCTGTAATATCATCTAAAGTTTTTATTTTACTAACCTCGAGTGATAAAGGATATATTCATCTATTTCACACAAAAATATCAAGTGTTCCCTACAAAAATAGCGTTGATGAAATCGTATCGGCAAAACTGTGCCGCTGGTAACATCCGGGTATTTTGTATGGGTTTTCGACGATGAGCAATACTTTTTGCTCCGCACAGCAAGGGAGTGTTGTGATCACGTGGCTTCCTATTTATATGTTGCCTGTCACCAGCAGACGACTGATCTAACTGAATTTTCGCTTGATATTTTTTGTTATAATGGGAACTGATTTTGCATCGTAAGTGGTATTAACGATCTCGGGTAAATAATATTGATGTTTGTTTGCTTTTTACATAACTTTACTTCCCGATTTCCATTGTCAATAAAACTTCTCACGACAGCGACTTGGCACCCGCCCTACCAGTGAAACTGTTTGTGCACTCCGATCGCACGCGTACTCCCCCGATATAACGCGTGCAATGCAATCGTCGAAATCACCAGAACGTCGAATTCAGCTCGAATACACAAGGATATGTTCCATTCATCCAAGATGATCGTTCTTACACTGGGAACTAGACAATCTTGTCTCAACTGATTTGGAGGGCTTGTAATCAACTTTTTGACGCCCCGCATCAACTCGAACCTAAACACATCTGTAGGACACGTACACAAAAATGCGATTCCTTACCCAATGAAAATATATATTATTTGAAGTGAAGGTTTAAATATGAAATTAATAAATATTGGAAATGCATCATGTATAAATGTTGGAAACGTGCAATCAATTAATGTTGAATGTAAAATGAATACATGTTGGAAATGTATAATACGGGTAATTGATTTTCTGATGAAATTCATCTAGACTGTTCTTTTACAATCCACAGGAATGGATTCACTGTTAGGTGGAGCTATTTATAGCGATTACAAACAAAAATCTTGTTTATGTTCCGCCGGAAGCTGCGTAGTGAACCAACATTTGAACAAATCTAAATCAGCGTTACTTGCAATTTTGATAAATTTTGACATTGTCAGTGCGCCTTGGTCTATATAAAAGTCTGGGTAGATGTGAGGCGGGCATATATCCCGCTGACAACGCCATACGACGCTGAACACACGGAAGCGCAACTGACAACAACTGTCACCTTATCGTCTGCTTGAATACTACTGTGTACGCCTGCCGTCAACACTTCGCCGCTGCACTTCCCAAAGTAAACCCGCTGTCATGTCCGACTCAGTTGTCATCAAAGCCTCCCTGGAGCGAGAGGGTTCGAGTCAACCCGAGATCCGACGTTTTGGGGTTCCGTCAGATGCTTCTGCCAGCTTCGACTACCTGTTCAAGAAGATATCGGAAGTGTTTCCTGGACTTGTCAGAGGAAACTTTAACCTCTACTGGAAAGGTAAATATACATTTACACCTATTACGCCTTTTCTTCAAACTATAGCTGGTGACAGATTTGTATAGGCTTTCTATCATGAAATGACATTCGGAAAGCTTATAGTAAAGTAATTCCATAACCCAATTGTATGTCACAATATGTGTGAGGACACACAAGTTCAGCCAGCTCAGTCGATCTGCAGTAGTCTGTCTAGTCTGTCTCACAGTCCCTGAACCACATTATTTTCCCAACTGCCAAGCCCTCTCTGCAGTGCTAAAGTCCTAAATAAAGCAAGTCTAGATTTCCTCAGGAATCTCTGGTCTCACTGGGGCTTCTTTTCAATTTAAATGGGCTTGTTTGTTACTATCAAAATTATATGTATTCAGGGCCTAAGCATTATAAGAGACCTACATACATATTATATATTGAACAGAGACACTGATACATGATGTTAGAATAAATAAATGTTATTTGAATGTATTGTGGATCTTTGTTTATGTACCGGTAATGTCAGTTAGGTCCATATTTCACCATAATCAGCTGATATGACTGCAAGTGATAATAAAACTAACTGGTCAAGGTACTGCATATAATATGTATCTTCCTTGTATTGTAATCTAGTATTAGATGTGAGAAGCACTGTAAGTGACAATAAATAACAAGGAAACAAGGTTGAGGACATATTTACAGCATGATATGAGCTAACACATCTGTATGGCAAGGATATAGTTTTAAATGAATCTGTTTGTTCTTTCAGATAGTGATGGTGACCTAGTATCATTTTCATCTGATGAGGAACTTCTTGAAGCTCTGGGGTTTGTTACAGACTCAGTGTTCCGAATTTACATCAAAAGTGAGTCTGTCACCAAATTGGAATATTTAGTTTATGGAATATTCATCAGATACTATATTCATTGTGCAATCAAACCAGTATATTCAGTGTATAAAATATCCATCAAGAGGTATTGTGTCATGGTGGACTAGGTTCATCTTTTATACCTTTTGTATGTTTCATTGATCTTGTGAAAAAAATGTGTTTAACCAAGCTTACAAACATCACACCAGTGTCAATATTCATATCTATGAATGTGCACATTTGTTAGATTCATCTGTGGGATAATGTGGTTATTGTAATGCTAGTTTGCACACCACACCAGGGTCAACATTTGTATTAAGCTTTATGGGATAATGTTTCATACTAGCTATATGATAAATGTAGATATTGTCATGCTTGTTTCTACTCTGTAAAGATATGTTGAACATTGTAATATGGTACAGCCTTTATCATTTTATCACCAATAAGGGAGAATACATTGTCGGTTGTTTCGAACTATTTACAACATTGTAATACATGATTTCTTTCATCCAAAACCATGATCATATATTAATGTTTACTGAACATGCCAAACATACATACACACACTATTCATGATATTGGTTATTACAGTAAACCAAATTCTGGAACAATCCATCCTTTTGCTTTTCCTGGTAGTTTAGTTTGATAGATAAACAGTTGATTAAATTGTGTTAATTTTAATATAGTTATTTTCATAAATTTTCCTTTGTTACATCTATATTGTAAGTGTAATTTATCTATTTCCTTACCAGTGTGTAGTTGTTAAATATATACACCATAAAGATTGGAAGCATAAGTTTAATAATTTTTTTACAAATGTTATCAGAATATGACTAGGCTTAAAACCGTCTCAGAACATCCGAAGTATAACAATACCTGTATTTTTTGTTTGTTTCCTATTTAGCCATCTTCAACATGTGCGTGTACTCTCTTAAGCTTTCTTTTGCCTATCGGTTCAGTTCTTGCAGTTCGTCTTTGTTTGTTACAGTAATACCTTTCCATATTGTTCATGAACTGAATCTGTGTTTGTAGAGTACGCCCCTCGGACCCACAGCTCCAAGAGTGGCAGTGGGGAGCTGCATCCTCGCGTGATCTGTGACGGCTGTGAAGGAGCAGTGTATGGTGTGAGGTACACGTGTCTGGTGTGCCCCGACTACGACCTGTGCAGCCAGTGTGAGGCTCAAAACGCTCACCCTCAACATGACATGTGGAAGATTGTCTCTCCAAAGTCAGCCAGGTGTGGTGGCAGAATGGTGAGCAGTCTTTTTGTACATACTTTCATTATACAATGTATACCGAAACAAGTTTAGGCTGTGACTTCATTATGACTTGTACATAAATGTTTTTTGAAGTATCAACCTTTACATATCAGAGCAAAATGAGTAAGTCAAATTATGAGGATTCCACAGCTCATGAAAATCCCTGTATCGATTATGTGAGGATTACAGCTGGAAGTAAAGTTAAAAGAATGGTTTTATATATTTGCACTGAAGAAAGAAATATGTCTGTGCCTTTAAATAATTATGCTGCTTTTAAAGTTTTGAACTTTTATCATTTTACCAGAAACAGAAATTTGTAATTCATATTCAAGTTTGAGATGCAAAGGTACAGTTTCTGGAGTGAGTGAGTGACCCGGGTTCGAATCCCCACATGGGTACAATGTGTGAAGCTCATTTCTGGTGTCACCTGCCATGATATTGGTGGAATATTGGTAAAAGTGACATAAAGTTAAACTCACTCACTCACTTAAGTGTAACCTTGACACTCACTTCCATATTTCAACTGTACAGCCCTTCATGGTTCCGCCACACTGCCATCAGTGGATGAACAACTTCATGAGCCAGTTCAGAAACCAGCACCCTGGATGTGGCACCAACAAGGAAGGAGCTCCCTCTGGTGCTGATGAACAAAACAAGACTGATACAGACAAGAAAGGGGAGACTACTCCACAGGAAGGGGAGACTACTGCACAGGAAGAATATCTGAGAAACATGGGACAATCTGTTGCTGCTTTCCTTACACCTTTTGGTAAGAAGTTAATTTCATGACTGAAAAGTTACTCTCTATTTTCACGTTCATCATTTTAGTCACTCTGTCTCCATATGAGCAAATCTCAGTGTTAGTTATGTCATCTCGTCATCACTCAGAAACCAGATGAATATTCCTATATGAAACATTCAGTAATGTTTCTGATTTATCAGAATAATTTGTTATTTGTTTAAATTATTCCAATTCTAAATTTTCAGGGATTGATGTGGATGTTGATATTGAGCACAATGGACGTCGCCAGGGTGTCAATCCCCAGGGTGTCAATCCCCAGGGTGTGAACCCCCAGGGTGTCAATCCCCAGGGTGTGAACCCCCAGGCTGGTCAACAGTTCTTCAGCAACCTCATGGCCCAGATGTTTAGTCAGTGCCCTGGGCAACCAGGTAACGAAGGAAGAGAAGGAGCTGATAAGAAGGACTCCGACAAGGCACCATCAGATGAGACGACCGAGACAGACACCCAGAAGAAGGGGCACTCATCGGGTGATGGATGGACTCTGCTGTCCGACACTGCATGCTCCTCTCCCCTCACAGGTCATCCAGGTGAGTTGTGACCTGACAGAACAGTTTCATTCTCAATCTGCAATGTAGTGGATCTGGTTAATCTTAGGATTTTTATGTAAAAATTCAATGTTAAACAAACAGACAGGTCGGTGGCCGAGACCTTTGTAGATGGGCATGCCTGTATCCCTTGCACAATGTGATCTTAGGACTAAGACTGTCATCAGTGTATGTTAAAGTAAGGGAGTTCTAATAACCTTTTCATCATGATTGCAACTGGGCCATACCTTCTGCAAGATCTTTCCTAAAATTTTGGTTTAAGATACTGACCGACTTTTTTTTTAAAAAGCCTTGGATATCTGTTTGATCCCGTAAATAGAATGTGACCTAATTGAGAGGTCATCGGTTATCCAATCAAATCGTTAGAATCTCAGGTCAAGTCGTTACGACACAGGTCAACGCGATACGACACTCGTGTGACGTACGAGATTAGTATGCAACTACCCATACGTTGACTACGTGGGTAATAAATAGAGAATACTACACTCGGTCTCATTACATACGAATTATACGAAACGAGTGTCCTTCCTATGGTATCTGACTGAGCGAAAGCGAGGTCAGATAACATAGGAAGGTCACGAAGTTTCGTATAATTCGTATGTAATGAGACCGAAAGTGTGGTATTTTATTTATTACCCACGCCTTACATGCATTTAAATTGACAAAATAGCGTATTTTTGTTATGTTTTGGTTTCAAACCGAAACCGGTTTCATAAAGAGGTTGCGGAAGAGTTTTGTACTGTAGTACAATATTTGCATGACGTCCCACTAATGACGTCACTGCCATGGTAACCGACGTCACGATGCATGTCAGTTGTCATCGCCTCGTACAGCCTCCTACAGTAAACTACTCCGTTGCACCTCGTTTCTTGGTTTGCAGTTGCTTCATTCGGCTAACATCACTGGTGGAAACATTGCGTTTACGTTTTTCGACGGGTATAATGTCTCAGTTCGGCCCACAATTAAACAGCGACACTGCAACGTTCGCGATGTTTACATTCCCACAATGCATTTAAGTTGTAGAATGAATGGATCCACGTGTTTGTTATGAATGAAAAAATAGTTACGTCAGAATGTGACCTAATTGAGAGGTCATCAGTTATCCAATCAAATCGTTAGAATCTCAGGTCAAGTCGTTACGACACAGGTCAACGCGATACGACACTCGTGTGACGTACGAGATTAGTATGCAACTACCCATACGTTGACCACGTGGGTAATAATGATGAATAGGTCACAGGCATTTTATACACCGATTCCTGTCACCCATGTATTTCTTTATCTGTTTACCGTTATGAGACTGCAAGTTTAGATTTACTGTTATATTCCCAGATCCACGTATTGCCGATGCTCTCCAGCAGATGTTGTTGATGGGGTTCTCTGACGACGGAGGCTGGCTCACTCGTCTCCTGGAGGCCAAGAATGGTGACATCAGCCAGGTGCTCGATGCCATCAAACCAAACAAAGAATGAACTCATTGGCTGAAGGATCACAACAGAAGGAAATACATGTGTGATATAAACTGTTGAAAGTGTGATATGCCTGATTGATATAGGTTATGTATGGGATATGAACTCTTGAAAGTGTGATATGCCTGATTGATATAGGTTATGTATGGGATATGAACTGCTGAAAGTGTGATATGCCTGATTGATATAGGTTATGTATGGGATATGAACTGTTGAAAGTGTGATATTTTTTATAGATAGGAATACCTAATTCCTAATAGTGATGTACAATCTCACAAGTGCTGTACGGATTCACAAAGCATGAGTGATGTGTATTTTTACCTTACGTGGTTAAAAATGTTTTCAGTATTTCTGTCATCTCTTCACAAATCAGTGTCGTCAGTAAGGTTTGAACAGATGCAGGAAGCGATGAGAATGCAGACTTGATTGAGAAGTTCAGGATATGTTCTAGACAGGTTGTGTTTCAGACACAAGAAGCTCACCTGGTTTGACTTGATGTCATGACTCTCTGCTCTCTCTGTATATAATAGTGGAGAGAATACAGCTGCATGTCTGTCAGTGATCTTATCTTGTTTTGGTACAAATGGAAGATGGAGTAACACCCTGTATAATCTGTATATAGAAACCGTTTTGTACTCGATAACCATGAGACATTAGATTTTTCACTTTGATAAAATGCAATAAATATTTGTCTTATCACAAATAATATTTGTGTTGTTGAATGCAGTGGTTGGTTACTCACATTTATATACAGACCTGGTATGAACTTCAATTTCAGTTAAGTATACGTATTAATGACGTTACCGCCTGTGTGAGTGAATGGGTTAGCCTATTGATGACACAATTAAGTTCACAAGGTCAGTTCTATTCTCGACATGGGTACAGAAGTAAAGTGCATTCTGAAAATATATAGTGGACTAGGCCCAGATCAGTTCCCATTCCCAGTTAGTCATCCAAAACCAACTCCTTGTCAATACACTCTAAATGTGAGACGTATGCCAGTCTAGCAGTCAGTGATTACCTTCATCACCCAGTGTCTCCATATCATCAAACAGACACAATGTCAGAGCTCCACACAAGGTATAACCATCACACAAAGACAATGTCTCCGTATCATTACACAGACACAATGTCAGAGCTCCACACAAGGTATAACCATCACACAAAGACAATGTCTCCGTATCATTACGCCAGACACAATGTAAGAGCTCCACACAAGGTATAACCATCACACAAAGACAATGTCTCCGTATCATTACACAGACACAATGTCAGAGCTCCACACAAGGTATAACCATCACACAAAGACAATGTCTCCGTATCATTACACAGACACAATGTCAGAGCTCCACACAAGGTATAACAATCACACAAAGACAATGTCTCCGTATCATTACACAGAGACAATTTCACAGCTCCACACAAGGTATAACCATCACACAAAGACAATGTCTACGTATCATTACACAGAGACAATGTCAGAGCTCCACACAAGGTATAACCATCACACAAAGACAATGTCTCCGTATCATTACACAGACACAATGTCAGAGCTCCACACAAGGTATAACCATCACACAAAGACAATGTCTCCGTATCATTACACCAGAAACAATGTCAGAGCTCCACACAAGGTATAACCATCACACAAAGACAATGTCTCCGTATCATTACACAGACACAATGTCAGAGCTCCACACAAGGTATAACCATCACACAAAGACAATGTCTCCGTATCATTACGCCAGACACAATGTAAGAGCTCCACACAAGGTATAACCATCACACAAAGACAATGTCTCCGTATCATTACACAGACACAATGTCAGAGCTCCACACAAGGTATAACCATCACACAAAGACAATGTCTCCGTATCATTACACAGACACAATGTCAGAGCTCCACACAAGGTATAACAATCACACAAAGACAATGTCTCCGTATCATTACACAGAGACAATTTCACAGCTCCACACAAGGTATAACCATCACACAAAGACAATGTCTACGTATCATTACACAGAGACAATGTCAGAGCTCCACACAAGGTAACCATCACACAAAGACAATGTCTCCGTATCATTACACAGACACAATGTCAGAGCTCCACACAAGGTATAACCATCACACAAAGACAATGTCTCCGTATCATTACACAGACACAATGTCAGAGCTCCACACAAGGTATAACAATCACACAAAGACAATGTCTCCGTATCATTACACAGAGACAATTTCACAGCTCCACACAAGGTATAACCATCACACAAAGACAATGTCTCCGTATCATTACACCAGAAACAATGTCAGAGCTCCACACAAGGTATAACCATCACACAAAGACAATGTCTCCGTATCATTACCCAGAGACAATGTCAGAGCTCCACACAAGGTAACCATCACACAAAGACAATGTCTCCCTATCATTACACAGAGACAATGTCAGGGTTCCACACAAGGTAACCATCACACAGAGACGATGTCTCCGTATCATTACACATTGACAATGTCAGAGCTCCACACAAGGTATAACCATCACACAAAGACAATGTCTCCGTATCATTACACCAGAAACAATGTCAGAGCTCCACACAAGGTAACCATCACACAAAGTATTCCAACACGTTGATATCCTGACTTCCTGGTTGGACCCTTGAGGTACCGGGATGATACGGCAGCCAGCAATATCAAAACGAGCTTCCCTAAACATCTACTGGCCTTTTTGAGTACTTAAAGATTAACTTGTTTGAGTGGCATTTAGATGTTGGTGTGATGAACAACGAGGAGTGTTCTATGGATATACAAGTATTACATTACCACTGCCTGCAACCAACTCATCACCAAGCAATCTTAATCCCATTATTCTCCTGTCTGTCATATCACTGGCTTCCTCCCAATAATTGTACATCACTTGATCAATAACGGTGTTAGTAGCTACACAAACGTCGCTCATATTGTTTTATTTCTTCCCTCTGAGCATAAAGATTACCATCCTTTATCTCCATTCCATTACTCTTTACATATTGTAATGGAAACATACCATTCAAACAAAGTAGGGGATATTCCATTTTGCGAGCATACCACTAGCCAATGCCAATGCATATGAGAAAAAGTAATATATATGGAGAGAGATGAAACATTTCCAAAGGAATGGAATAAATTGTCACATTGTCCCTTAATTTCTCTTCATCATCTCTTTCCTCCTTGACTGTTTTTAATGGTATATTATACGCCGGATAATCGATAACCCCCGTGTCTTCAATAAACAACAAATCGAATGATCACCCATAGTATGACGTGATGCACATATAATAATTATTAACCATATTATAGTTTTCGTTAAGAAACAATCGACCAAACTTTTTCACCATCCGGAAGAAATCTCGAGTCGATTGTACAATTCTGGATATTCTGGCAACTCTGTACAATTCAGGCCGCAGTTCGCCGTATTTCACCTGTGAGACTTGGTCTGTAAACAATCGAGTCTGGGCCAGACAATCCAGGGATCAAACCATTGAATATGTCCCTGTTTATTATAATGCATTCACCAAACAGTATTATTTTAAGTCATTTGAATCCAAACCATAACTAGTTTGTTTGTTGTGTAACGCCTAAATCAGCAACATTCCCACGATATGACGGTGGTCTGTAAATCAGTGATCAACAGCATGAGCATCGATCTATGCAATTGGGATACGATGACATGTAGCCCGAACCCGATAGTCGCCTCTTACGACAAGCATGTTCTGCTGAAAACCAATCAAGGCCAAAATATATCAATCAAATATCACCGATATTTACATAAAACTCCGAAACTGACGGAAACAACAAGAGGATATATTTTGATGTTAACAGAGTGAGTGAGTAAGTTCAGAGTGACACTTTGAATTGTATCTTAGTTATAACATGGCGTCTCGGACATGCACGTCTCGGACTTTTACAAATGGTGAAACGTGTAGATATTGGAAACATAATTCTGACACGCTGAGAAACGCAGTTCTGCACAGTCAAATAAAAACACCGGGTGTTTTCACCATGCTTACGTGTACCACACCCCAGAGACATAACACCTCCAAGGACATACAGAAATATATCCCCCATAACCTTACACCTTAACCTATACCTATCCAGAGTTATCTGATCAGACCCGAAGTGGAATCTGTGGTCCAAGGGAGATAATAACAAGGGAGCGGTGGGGTAGCCTAGCTAGTGGTCACGCCTAAGTCCCGGGTTCCATTCCCCACATGGGTACGATGTGTGAAGCCCATTTCTGGTGTTCCCCGCCGTGATATTGCTAAAACATTGCTAAAAGCGGCTTAATAACATACTCACTCACTCACTCACTCACTCACTCACTCACTCACTCACTCACTCACTCACTCACTCACTCACTCACTCACTCACTCACTCACTCACTCACTCACTCACTCACTCACTCACTCACTCACTCACTCACTCGTAAAGAAAGATGTACATAACACTCATAGTCCTTAAATCATTCCATTCCAGGGCATAATTTATAAACTGTCTCCTTTTGGATGGTGGGGTGAGTGGTATTCTGAAATACACATAACTGTTTTATCAAATGGGAAAATGTCGGATAATAAAACAATCACTGTAGAACAGCAGAGACCGTGTAATAAGAATGCGGTCTCTGGTTACAGGTACGCGTTAAGTACTTGTAAAACGAAATTGTCGCGTGATGTTCATTATCAATGAAAGGTTTCCGGTAAAATAAATAACAGTATTTCCGGATGACACATAAGCCAACAGTTTACTTCAGTCGTTTATTTCAATTGATTTTCTGATGAAATTTATCTAGACTGTTCTTTTACAATCCACAGGGAAGGATTCACTGTTAGGTGGAGCTATTTATAGCGATTACAAAGGAAAATCTTGTTTATGTTCCGCCGGAAGCTGCGTAGTGAACCAACATTTGAACAAATCTAAATCAGCGTTACTTGCAATTTTGATAAATTTTGACATTGTCAGTGCGCCTTGGTCTATATAAAAGTCTGGGTAGATGTGAGGCGGGCATATATCCCGCTGACAACGCCATACGACGCTGAACACACGGAAGCGCAACTGACAACAACTGTCACCTTATCGTCTGCTTGAATACTACTGTGTAGGCCTGCCGTCAACACTTCGTCGCTGCATTTCCCAAAGTAAACCCGCTGTCATGTCCGACTCAGTTGTCATCAAGGCCTCCCTGGAGCGAGAGGGTTCGAGTCAACCCGAGATCCGACGTTTTGGGGTCCCGTCAGATGCTTCTGCCAGCTTCGACTACCTGTTCAAGAAGATATCGGAAGTGTTTCCTGGACTTGTCAGAGGAAACTTTAACCTCTACTGGAAAGGTAAATATACATTTACATCTATTACGCCTTTTTTCAAACTATAGCTGGTGACAAATTTGTATATTTTCTTAGGCTTTGTATCATGAAATGACATTCAGAAAGCATATAGTAAAGTAATTCCACAACCCATGTGTGTTATGTCACAATATGTGTGAGGACACACAAGTTCAGCCAGCTCAGTCGATCTGAAGTAGTCTGTCTTACAGACCCTGAACCTAAACCACATGATTTTCCCAACTGCCAAGCCCTCTCTGCAGTGCTAAAGCCCTAAATAAAGCAAGTCTACTTTTCCTCAGGAATCTATGGTCTCCATTGGGTTTCTTTTTCAATTTAAATGGGCCTGTTTGTTACTATCAAAATTATATATATTCAGAGACTAAGCATTAGTCTAGATCTGCAGATATAAGAGACCTACATACATATTATAAATTGAACAGAAACTCTGATAAATGATGTTAGAATAAATAAATATTATTTGAATGTATTGTGGATCTTTGTTTATGTTATGTCAATAAGGTCCATATTTCACCATAATCAGCTGATATGACTGCAAGTGATAATAAATCTAACTCGTCAAGGTACTGCGTATAATATGTATCTTCGTTGTATTGTAATCTAGTATTAGATATGAGAAGCACTGTAAGTGACAATAAATAACAAGGAAACAATGTTGAGGATATATTTACAGCATGATATGAGATAACTACTTCCACATGACAAGGATATAGTTTTAAATGAATCTGTTTGTTCTTTCAGATAGTGATGGTGACCTAGTATCATTTTCATCTGATGAGGAACTTCTTGAAGCTCTGGGGTTTGTTACAGACTCAGTGTTCCGGATTTACATCAAAAGTGAGTCTGTCACCAAATTGGAATATTTAGTTTATGGAATATTCATCAGATACTATATTCATTGTGCAATCAAACCAGTATATTCAGTGTATAAAATATCCATCGAGGTATTGTGTCATAGTGCACTGAGGTAATCTTTTATACCGTTTGTATGTTTGATCTTTGAAAAATGTGTTTAACCAAGCTTACAAACATCACACCAGTGTCAATATTCATATCAATGAATGTGCACATTTATTAGATTCATCTGTGGGATAATGTGGTTATTGTAATGCTAGTTTGCACACCACACCAGGGTCAACATTTGTATTCAGCTTTATGGGATTAATGTTCCATACTAGCTATATGATAAATGTAGATATTGTCATGCTTGTTTCTACTCTGTAAAGATATGTTGAACATTGTAATATGGTACAGCCTTTATCATTTATCAACAATAAGGGAGACTACATTGTTGGTTTGTTTCGAACTATTTACAACATTGTAACACATGATTTCTTTCATCCAGAACCATGATCATATATTAGTGTTTACTGAACATGCCAAACATACATACATACACTATTCATGATATTGGTTATTACAGTAAACCAAATTCTGGAACAATCCATCCTTTTGCTTTTCCTGGTAGTTTGTTAGCTAAACAGTTGATTAAATTGTGTTAATTTAATTTTAATATAGTTATTTTCATAAAGTTTCATTTGTTACATCTATATTATAAGTGTAATTTATCTATTTCCTTAATAGTGTGTAGTTGTTAAATATATACACCATAAAGATATGTAAGCATAAGTTTAATAATTTGAATTTCACAAATACTATCAGATTATTACTAGGCTTAAAACCGTCTCAGAACATCCGAAGTATAACAATACCTGTATTTCTTATCTGTTTCCTATTTAGCCATCCTCAACATGGGCGTGTACTCTCTTAAGCTTTCTTTTGCCTATCAGTTCAGTTCTTGCAGATCCTCTTCGTTTGTTACAGTAATACCTTTCCATATTATTCATGAACTGAATCTGTTTGTAGAGTACGCCCCTCAGACCCACAGCTCCAAGAGTGGCAGTGGGGAGCTGCATCCTCATGTGATCTGTGACGGCTGTGAAGGAGCTGTGTATGGTGTGAGGTACAAGTGTTTGGTGTGCCCCGACTACGACCTGTGCAGCCAGTGTGAGGCTCAAAACACTCACCCTCAACATGACATGTGGAAGATTGTCTCTCCAAAGTCAGCCAGGTGTGGTGGCAGAATGGTGAGCAGTCTTTTTGTACATACTTCCATTATATACCGAAACATTTTTAGGCTATGACGTCATTATGACTTGTACACAAATCAACATTTACATGCAAAATTGCAAAATGAGTAAGTCAAATTTTGATGATTCCACAGCTCATTAAAATCCCTGTATAGATTATGTAAGGATTACACCTGGAAGTTAAGTTTTTTTTATATTTTATGGAAAGTTGCACTGAAGAAAGAAATATGTCTTTGCCTTTGATTAAATTTGCAGCTTTTAAAGTTTTGAATATTATTATTTTTACAAGAAACAGAAATTTGTAATTCATATTCAAGTTTGAGATGCAAAGGTACAGTTTCTGGAGAGAGTGAGTGACCCGGGTTTGAATCCCCAAATGGGTACAATGTGTGAAGTGTAGGATAAAACACGACTCCGAGGTTCTGGTTGAGATTGTAAAACCTCAGGGGAAGGATTTCCTGACACTGAGGTTTTACAATCTCAACCAAAACCGAGGAGGAGTGTTTTATCTAACTTATAAACCGTCTAAGACAACACTTAATTTCAGGGTTCGAAACCAGTTAACGCCACTAAATCTTGGAAGTTTTCAATAATTAGATATTTTACGATCAGTCATAGCAAGACAAAGTTGTATCAGTCATAAATAATGGTATGGGTATGAGGTTTTACAACGACCATTGTAAAACTTCAGTACCTCGTATGAGGTTTTACAATGGTCATTGTAAAACCTCCTTCGAGGTATTACAATGATCATTGTAAAACCTCCTGCAATCGTAAAACCTCTACCGAGGTTATTCCATAATGCGAAGCAACTGCAAGAACAATAGACAACATTGGCCATAGGTTTATAAGCTCATTTCTGGTGTCCCCTGCCACGATATTGATGGAATATTGCTAAAAGTGGCGTAAAATTAAACTCACTCACTCACTTTAGTGTTAAGTTGACCCTCACTCCCATATTTCAACTGTACAGCCCTTCATGGTTCCGCCACACTGCCATCAGTGGATGAACAACTTCATGAGCCAGTTCAGAAACCAGCACCCTGGATGTGGCACCAACAAGGAAGGAGCTCCCTCTGGTGCTGATGAACAAAACAAGACTGATACAGACAAGAAAGGGGAGACTACTCCACAGGAAGGGGAGACTACTCCACAGGAAGAATATCTGAGAAACATGGGACAATCTGTTGCTGCTTTCCTTGCACCTTTTGGTAAGAAGTTAATTTCATGACTGAAAAGTTACTCTCTATTTTCACATTCGTCATTTGAGTCACTCTGTCACCATATGAGCAAATCTCACTGTTAGTTATGTCATCTCGTCATCACTCAGAAACCAGATGAATATTCCTATATAAAACATTCAGTAATGTTTCTGATTTATCAGAATAATTTGTAATTTGTTAATTATTCCAATTTTAAATTTTCAGGGATTGATGTGGATGTTGATATTGAGCACAATGGACGTCGCCAGGGTGTCAATCCCCAGGGTGTCAATCCCCAGGGTGTGAACCCCCAGGCTGGTCAACAGATCTTCAGCAACCTCATGGCCCAGATGTTTGGTCAGTGCCCTGGGCAACCAGGTAACCAAGCAGAAAAAGGAGCTGATAAGAAGGACTCCGACAAGGCACCATCAGATGAGACAACCGAGACAGACACCCAGAAGAAGGGGCACTCATCGGGTGATGGATGGACTCTGCTGTCCGACACTGCATGCTCCTCCCCCCTCACAGGTCAACCAGGTGAGTTGTGACCTGTCAGAACAGTTTCATTCTCAATCTGCAATGTAGTGGATCTGGTTAATCTTAGGATTTGTATGTAAAAATTCAATGTTAAACAAATAGAGAGGTCGGTGGCCGAGACCTTTGTAGATGGGCATGCCTGTATCCCTTGCACAAAGTGATCTTAGGACTAAGACTGTCATCAGTGTCTGTTAAAGTAAGGAAGTTCTAATAACCTTTTCACCATGATTGCAACTGGGCCATACCTTCTGCAAGATCTTTCCTAAAATTTTGGTTAAAGATAGTGACCCACTTTTGTAAAAAAAAGCCTTGGATATCTGTTTTCACAAGCTGATCCCGTAATGATGAATAGGTCACAGGCATTTCATACACAGATTCCTCTCAGCCATGTTTTTCTTTATCTTTTTACCATTATGAGACTGCAAGTTTAGATTAACTGTTATATTCCCAGATCCACGTTTTGCCGATGCTCTCCAGCAGATGTTGTTGATGGGGTTCTCTGACGACGGAGGCTGGCTCACTCGTCTCCTGGAGGCCAAGAATGGTGACATCAGCCAGGTGCTCGATGCCATCAAACCAAACAAAGAGTGAACGCATTGGCTGCAGGGTCACAACAGAAGGGAATACATGTGTGATATAAACTGTTGTAAGAGTGATATGAGTGATTAATAGGAGTATGTGTGTGATTTGAACTGTTGAAAGTGTGATATTTGTGATAGATAGGAATACCTAATTCCTAATAGTGATGTAATCTCACAAGTGCTGTACATATAGAACTACCTGTGACTGCCTACTGATATGTTATGATTTCTTGCCGTCAGTGGACTACACTAAAGCCTCATTAATCAGAACTGTACTGTACTCAGTTAATCATTCAGATTCACAAAGCATGAGTGATGTGTATTTTTACCTTGAGTGGTTAAACATGTTTTCAATATTTCTGTCGTCTCTTCACAAATCTGTGTCGTCAGTA